AGAATCAAAAATTACAGAAGGTGCGTCATAATTCTTCATAAAAGAAAGGTTGGCTGAACGAAGGAGAGCTAAAATTGGTATAGAAGGTACGTTATGACTCATCATGGAGAATTGACCGGGGATAACTAACAAAGGTTCAAAATAGGACACGGTGAGTAGCAGGTGATGTTAATTAGAAGATTGATTTGGTGAAAAGCTATGGCTAAATTTGGTAGGGTGACTTCTGAGCATTTTATCTTGATCAGCCAGGACTGGAGCTGAGCCGGGGTGATGGTATTCGACGTACTGTATGTTATGAATCTATAGTCTTGGCTAAGAGCTATTCACAGTATTAACCAATTGTTCCTGCTGATGTGTCTCTAGCTGTCCAGGCGGAATATGGGGGCTACGGTGAACATATTGATTCCTGTTTCTTTAGTCTAGCCTTGATATGGGTTTTTCTCCCTGTAATAGGTTTTCCCATATTTATTTGCGAATGCAGAGGCTCTGTTATGTTTGTATTTGTTACAATCGAAATGCACAGATGCGGGTTACAATGCCTTGATTTCCATAAACCAACCCAGTAGACAACTGAAGACAAACAATACAGTGCAACCCAAGAAGTATTCTGCGACTTTAATAGACATGCGGGTTTATGCTGTTATGGAACCTGTTCAAATGAAGGTCACGTGGTTTGACAATGCCGCAAAGACGAGAGCAATATTTTATCTACACATTCAACGAAACTCGCGCTTCGGGTCCTCAGAAGAGGACCTGGGGCGGTAGTCGCTGCTTTGGCGCCCTCATTTGCTCTCTCCTCGCCTTCCGACAGATTCTTCCTCCTCTGAGCTTACCCGTTCCGGAGGGGTTTGCGTTCGACGACGTTTCAAAACGCCTGGCCGAATCCGATTGATTGAGCCTTGGAGTAGAGTCTGCGACTGTTGCCTTGCTTCCGTGTTGGAGAGAAAATCACAAAGCTCCTCTGACGTGAGGATGAGGTTCACCGCGCTTTGAGCACTGATTGACAACGACCTTTCTTTTGTAGGTGGTGGCGTGGGAGGTGAAGACTTGTCTGCTCTGGGGTTAGTTAACTAACAGCAACCCAGGACGGACTACGGAGTAGTGCTCCGACAAAGGGCGGTCGAGGGTATGAGATGCATGATTTTAGGTACGCCGGACGGGATGTTGAAACGCGATGTACTCCGGTGGCTGAAATTCCAGAGGCAAGATTGCTCACCGAAATCTAAGCGTTTTACATAAAGCCACGGCTACCACGTATGTACTTTGCTAGATCTCTCTACTACCTGCCCCTAAAAATAGTATTTTACTACCCTCAAATATCGTTACTACTCCCGGGATACTGATAGCTTCTAAGAAAAGTATATCGGTGATTTCTAAAGATATTTCCAGGCAGTAACAAAAGACAGGATATATCTCGAACTCGGACTAGTTCATAATCCAGAGCTTTATTCTAGAACGAGTTAAAGAAAGAATGTAATTGATTAATAGATATAATGGAACCCTATAAATAGACTTACTTGGTCAGCTGAATAGTGCGTTGGTAGTATTGATAAAGCTGGCAATATTTTACATTGTCCGGAACCTCGATTGAGTCCGCCGTACAACCGTCCTCATTATGCGAGACTAACAAACCAAAGTTAGTGTTCGACTAGTGTGAATTAGTAGTCCGCGCGAGCAGGAAGTAGGAAATTCTGTAAATCCTTTACCCGCGAACGGTTGACAGTTAAGTTCACGTTGCCCTGCTGCTCCTAATTGGCATTAGACCTCTAGCATCAGTTTATGCCTTATCGAGTATCCCCTGAAAGGTCAGGAAACATAAAGTAAAATGGCATCCGCTGTTCTCAACCCCCCCCGGAGCTTTTACACATGATACTTGCACCCCTATCGCCCAGCGATCTTTCCGCCGTATGCCTGACGCGGAGGAGCTGGCGCTTTGTTGCCGAGCCATTGCTCTACACTCATATTGAATGGACATGGACGAAGTCTCAGAACCCCTATCCACCGCGGCATAGCACACAGCTATCGCGATCTACTTCGGTCTAGAGACATCGATCTTTCACTGATGTCTGAGACACGTACCAGTGGCCTCGGGACTTCTGAAATGACGGGTTTCCTATATCAGTCTAGTGTTGAGAGCTTGCGTAGGAGTTTGATAATAAAAGCTTTCTTGGCTGTTCATGGCGGATATTCTTGGCGCCCAACTTGTTTAAGTGCATAGTAAAATTGATAGCAGTTTTTGGTTTGGTATACAGTGGATCACAACCCCTGTTATTCCCTATCCAAAAGCTTCATTGTCCTGCAAGGTCTCACCATTGGGGTCTGTGAACAAGGCAGACGCCATTGTGTGGAATGTATTGTAAGAAAAGAAGGAAGAATAATCGCAGATAAAGTTATGGATGTTGGGCCAAGAATACCAATGCCCTGGCACGTGACCCTGTGCCAGGTAGACACCCAATATCTGACTTTAACAGCGAGATCTAGAAAAAGCATCTTACATCCTATGGATTGGCAACGGTGTGGGGCTCCTTCGTGTGGTCATCTGGGGTTAGTAAGAAAGACATTGAGCGTTGTGTGGGCCCTTGCGCGTCATTCAACGCCGTAGGTTAGCTGGGGTAGAACTTGAGCTGAACAAAGGAAGACGGCCTAGCTCCGTGGCAAGCTAGTGAGATCTTTCTCACCCCTAGAATGATTCACACCTTTACTCCCTACAAGTTTACAGCACCTTGGATCAGTTCCGACTATCATTTAACATATTTTCTGAACAGTGTACTGTAGTCATTCAGGTACTTCTCCACTCAGTTCTCGACCTCTCACATTGAGACCATACCTTTATCCTTGCATCTATCACAAAGATAGAACTTCTAGAGAAAGGGAGATTGTCATGGACCGTTCACGACACATCTGACGTTAAAGGACGATGTTGGACTCCAAATTCAGTTAACCTCCATCAAATGGACAAAGACACAAAGGACCCTTAGTCTGGAACGTAGTGGCACCATACAGTAGCCAGTTTAGGTTAGCTGTAGAAGCTCTGATGAGTTGGAGATCCACTGTGACTCCATAGAATCACTCAGATTGATGCATTCCATGCCCTCTGTAGCAGCAGCTTTCCACTCATTTTCGGTTATAGCGTTCCACATCAACTCATTCTTCGGCATCGGAAATTGTAGCTCGCTTGCAGTGACCTGCCACCTTGCCCTTGAAGTATCACGATGCTCTAGATGAGTCTCCCCTCTATCCGAGCCTATCGACTTGCAGACTCTGAACAGAGCTATATCGAAACGTTTAACCTCTTCGACCCCAACCAAGACATAGTCGGCCAGGTCGTCCGGGTGGTACCGTGCAAGCATATTTGGATAATAAAACATGCCTAATGCTCTGCAGCTCAGCACCAATGAAGAGAGAAGATCAAGATCAGTGGCCGGTAGGGAAGGTTTCAGATCGAGCCCAAGATCTACATTGCCTTTACCTATTAATGAGAATATTACGTGAAGTAGAATGGCCTGGTACATTGGAATGGGCCATGAGCAATTGCTCGACGCATCCTTTGAAATTGAAGCATCCCACTTCTCCTGTAGGTTCTCCGGTTAGTAACATATTCACAAGCCGGGGGTTTTAAGGAGACAAACTCTTTGTTCATAGATAGCCGAATTGAGAATTGCATGGAGTTCGATTGCTGCGGACCGGTTACTCTGCACACCACTAGACCACATGCCAATGACAACCATTGACTGTACAAGCAGAGTTGTCTCCTTGCTTTGGTTAAATGAACCTTGGTGAATGAACGGCCAATGTGGATGGAATGTCTCGAAGTACAACTTGAGGAAGTGTTGTATTTTCCCGGACGAACCGGGCTCGAGAGCCTGTCGTAGACGATACCTGGGTCCATCATTGAAGGAACAGTGCATACGGCGGCGAATGCATCCAGTGCAGGGTGGACCCCCTTCACAACGAGATTTGAGATGCCGACAATTTACACAGGCTTGTTTTATTGATGGCGCGAGATCACTTCCTTCATGCCTCTGCCGCATATGTCGACGGAGTATATCCCTAGATGCAATGGGTTGTGGTTGGAACATAAGACATATCAAATAGCCAAGAATGGCCTCCTTACTTTCTCCTAAATCCCTGACCACACACTAGACATCGAAATGACCGCTGGGGGGCATGTTGCACTTTGTGGCGATTCAGGTGGCCCTTCCGCGCGTAGCTTGCGTTGCAGCCAGGAAATTCACAGCCGAATTTTCCTGTGGGGTCCATGCCGGATCTGGAGTTCTCATCCAGCAGGGCTATAGAGAGTGCCTTGTTCACGAAACTTAAAAAGCTAACACAGTTGCCAAATTGCACCGAGGAATGGTTGTTAACGAAGTAGGTTTGATGGATTATGTAAACACAGCCATGGATTCATAATCGACGGAGATCCCACTACAGCCGGAGATCCCACTCACCCAGACATAGTATACATCCACATTAACCGTATTGTTAAGCAACTTCTAGCCTCCGGAGGTTCGTAGCAACCTATAAATTCACAATCAACACCGCAGCAATTTGGCGATACTCTAACACATCTTTTTTCATCAACTTTCAAACAGTACCCTTGTTTCCTTGTACTATGGCTCCCTCAATCCTAATTATCGGTGCAACCGGTAACACTGGCCGAAGTGTTACTGAAACGTTGCCAAAGCTACTCAAAGCTACAAAATCTCTGTCCAATCACCGAGTCATTGGCCTCACACGTTCCCTGGATAGTGCGGTCGCCAAGCAGCTCGCAAAAGTGCCTGGTGTCGAGATGGTCGAGCAGAATTGGGTTGAAATCACCGCCGACTGGCTCCGCAAACACGAGGTAGTCAGGGCATTCATTGCATCACACAATGCGCCCAATCAATTCGCCGAAGAATCAACATTCCATTTGGCTGCCCTGAAAGCTGGAGTCAAGTACGTCGTACGAATCTCAACCACTGCTGCAAACGTTCGACCAGACTGCGACGCCTACTACCCGCGCGCGCATTGGGCGATCGAGGCCCTGCTGAGCTCACCAGAATTCAGCAATCTGCAGTGGACTTCGCTCCAGGCCAATATCTTTTCACCGTTCTACCTCTCTACAGCCGCGGAGTTTATCAAGCGGTACCGCAAGACTGGGACCCAAGACACTTTGAAGTTAATGGCGGCAAAGGATGCTCCTGTCGGCATTGTTGATCCCGATGAGGTTGGACGTTTTGCAGCTTTTCTCTTGTCCCAGGATGACACTACTGTACACAACAAAGCCAAGTACGTGCTTAATGGTCCAGAAGACATCACTGGGGGCCAAATCGTCAATATGGTTGAGCAGCATACCGGTACAAAAGTTCAACATATTAGCTATGAGGACATGTCGTTTGTTGATTCATTTCTCGAGCCTGGATCCTTGGGAGCCCAACAATCTAAGAACGTTATATTGTCCATGAAATACGCTCTGATGACGGCGTGGGAAGGGAAGTGCACGGCCTCTACAACCAGCAAGGAAGTGCTGCAGCTTGCTGCACCAAAGCGTACACCCGCTGACACGTTGATGGCTTTGTTGGAGGTGTAGGAAATTGATATATAAATTATATATCTACCAAATAAATTCATTATGTTCTCGTTTAATCAGTTGGGATGTCCATACCTGTGATGATACGTAAGTGGCCCATTTGTGATAGTACAACAGAGACAGGATACCATCGATAAGGATAGAATATTATGAAATTAAAATAGATTGGAAGGTCTTGAAGCATATAAGTGGAACAAATAGCAGTAAATGACACACAGGATACTTCAGATGGCTTAATCTATGGTTGCCTAGTGTCAGACCGAGATCCCTGCTCGCAATTGCAGACAAGGTTACTACTCTTCTTCACCACAGTCAAGTAACCATGTGACTACAAGAAACTGTTTAAGCTTGGAGAATTATGGGACTGAGAAATGCGAAACGCCCGAATAACATTAAATACGTAATGCTGTCAAACTATATTTGAAACGCTGCTCGAGTACTGGTATCCCACTCAATTGCTCCCGTTCTACCTGCCCCATCTCTCACGAGCTTCGATCGCATAACGACACGGTCCATGGCACATCGGTGCTAACCAAAACTAACCAACGGCTCAAAATCGGGAAGTAATTCGCCCAGGCCTATGCTTAGACGGCAATGGCAGCGACTGCCTCGGTGCTCGCGACATCGCGCTTGGCACCCTTTCCAGCCTGGTCTTGGAAGTCCTTGACACCCTTCTCAATAGCATCGGATATACCCCCCGCGATTCCAGAGGCAATATTCTGCAAATTATCAGGAACCTTGGAAACAATCGTATCCGATAGCTTTTTAGCTGCGTTCTTCTGCTGGACCAAGTCGTTATAGGTCTGACCGCCCTTGCCGGCCTGGACAATCTGGGACTTCTTGCCTGATAGGTGGGTAACGGCTGTAGTGATCTTCTGCTTGAGTTCGTTCACGGGGCCAGGAAGACCGAGAGCATCGCCGCCGCTGAGAGCAGAGGTGCTGCTAACCTTAGTAGTGCCGGCATTGATGGCATTTACAAGGTTGTCGGAGGCTTGTTGAACCTTGGCTACGTCGCCGCCCGTGTATGCCTGGATTGCTGAGTTGAGGGCATCAACTTTGGGGCCTATGCCAGATAGGACACCCTTAATGGTAGGGAGATCGCGCTCCACGTTGGCAGGGGCGGCGAGGACACCGGCGGTGAGGCCGAGGGTGAGGATAGAGAGGACGGAGAATTTCATGGTAATGGGAGTTATTCGAGTGAATCGATTGGGCCGAGGTAGAGAGCACTGAGGAGGTATGGATAATGATGCTGAAGATGATGCTGATGAGAATAGGATGGTAGCAATCCAGAGATACTTGGGCAGCTTTATACCTTGCCGGCGACCCCGCACATGGAGAGAAGAATCCCCCGTCCCTAGTATAGCTAAGGATTGGGAACCATGGTGCCTCAAAATTGGACGATTTCAATTCCAAAACGGGTTAGCTGTGACCTACATTGACGTGAAAAGGCCTAAATATTCGGATGATCGACGGGAATTGAATCGCTGATGGTCTGAAATTCCGGGGAAGATCCCCCCTTGGAAATTAGACCCAAAAAGTGGGTGAGACATGCCAGACCCGCTCGTGTTTGAAACCCAAATATCTAGCTTTATTTGGCGATCATAGTATCATATCATATACTTATTCAGTTAGCCCATCTCCAGCTACCAAACCAAAAGCCGGTCGCATCTATCCTGCCAAATAGCTTTCCGGGATTTGTGCTTTGGTCTGAGACAAAAGGATACCATTGATGTCTCAGAAGAGAACTATCGAGATCTCATTGTATCGAACTAACTTAGATGTCTAGGCATCTATGTGCAGCGTTCCTGTCAGTACATGCGGACTCGCAAAAGTGCGAGTTGGGGGAGGCCGGAAATCTGGGTCTTTCACACCAAAGTGATTCAACAATACCATTCGCAAAGGTCCATTAATCAGTGCGTACAAGACAGATCTTAAATAGTTATGAGAATCGAAACGTGGAGGACAAGACCTGTCCTTGAGGGTGCGATATCCGACCACGACATAACCATGTCCATGGCTGTAGCAGATGAACGTTGTCTCAATATCTATCTACGGGGAAATAATGGTTTCAGTGGTTGACATTTTCGCTATTTCATATCTCATAGAGGCGGGCATGACATCTAACGAGAGTGCCACATGATCAGACTGGAAGACGTCGAGGACGGCTTTATTTTCAATGCTCACTGTGACCACCCACATGCAGATTTCAATAACCGTCCTAGGCGGGCTAAGAGTGATCAGTTGCTGGTAACCCACGACTTTCCTCATGTGGAATGGTATATCCAGATGTGAGGTACTAACCAAATTGACTATCGCAGCGATGCGGATGCCCCGATAAATCCACTGTGGAGACGGCTCCATAGTATGACTGCGCCGGAAGGACTTATTGATAGCTAGGTATCCAAACAGAAGCTCCAAAACTCTATTTCAGCCTTTTTGACTTCACTCACATCTGAGACTGTGTACTTGCATACATATGACTGCTGTCTAATGCGTCTGAGCAGGATATTACCAAATTCCGGCTCGACCACATAGAAGATCGTCCTGGTGACTACCATACCCCAGAGCCTGTGGCTTTTTATGATGAATTCATCCATGGCAATTCCCGTGGTTACAAAAGAGGCGTTTCTACACCTACAGAGTCCGGACATGCATCTACTCCAGATCAAAATCACAAATAAACAGTTCCAACGCCTAAGAAGTACGATATCCATGATGTATGTACCTATGGGAGTCACAGACACAACTGAGAGTTGGAGACTGGCTACTTTTCCTGTAGATATCAAGGTTGCTAGAGTATCGATGATCCAATTAATCACTTCTTCACAATGAAACAAGTCCGTTTCCCAATGTGCCACTTGTCCCTGGAAGGAGTTCCAAATGAACTCAACCGAAGCACATTCCTTTATGTTGTATCACATAGTCTTTCCTTCCCCAAAGCTAATCCTTCTTGGCATCATATTGCTCATCAGTCACTGGATCGTGCCATGTAGTCTTACCCAAACCAATCACGAAATGTGTCATGATGTTACCATCATCCGCTCCATGCCAGTGGGTCGTTCCCGGGGGAGCCCAGATCAGATCTCCCATCTTGATGCGACGTGGCTCGCTGCCCTGGTCACAGATCCAACCAGAACCGGCTACAACCTTCAGGAATTGCCCTTCTTCATGGGTGTGCCAATATGTCCGTGCACAGGGAGTGAAAGTAACATTGGCCATCGTAGTCTTTTCATCCCTATGCAAGACGTCGAAATAAACATCACCTGTGAACGTGGCGGTGGGCTTGACGGTGGCCTGGCCACCGTTGGAGGAGCTGCGGATGATGATCGATTCGGGCATGATTGGATTTTAGAGATCTGCCGGAGTTTTGGCGATCTAGCTTTCAGCATTAGACTGGGAGGATGGTAATCGAATTATTCTATACGATTATGGTAACTGACCTTTTTGATAGGGAGGACACTGTATAAAGAAAATAGTTGTGTGGGCAAGTTCTTGATGTCGGAAAAGAGGTCTTTTATACCCATATGGCATGAAGCGGCTTACTGTCGGGCTTAGGCGGATTTATGGCACTTTACAAGGTGCTTACGCGCCAGGAAGCCTTTCAAATCGGCGCTTGATGACCAAGCGTGCGGGGTTTGCGGGGGAAATTTTAGGATACCGAGGCACTATCTATATTCTTCTATAAATATATTTCTTGTAGTAGTTGATTACTATCAAGTTGAATTTAAAGTCAAATAAAACTGAATCTCGCTTTGAGACTTGTAAACGGGGAGTAATGGTGGCGGTTAAGATATATTATATTTCGACCAATAAGTATCTAGATTCAAAAACTCACTATCCCTTGCAACATACTCAGGCAGCCGATTCTATTTAAATTAGGAAGTAAACCAGGGCTAGTTTACTAGAAAGACATTTAGAAACTCTATTAAATCGCTCATTTAAATAGGCGTAGCTACTCTTGTTCGCTGAAGCAAGAGGGGAAACACTTTATGAATCATTTCACAGAAAGGAAATCGATCATACTAGCAACCCCTTTCCTTAAATTCGTCACGTACCAATTTGTTTATCTCCTCGACGCATTCCAAGTCCTGACTGAATATCTTATCCCATATGCATTTTCTATAATAGGTTTGGATTAGTGTTTAAACCATTGACTAGTCATCCAAGTTGTAGACGTCGTTTCCGGAACGACGCTCATGAACAAGACTGGAATTTCGTTATCATATATCCCAAGAGTCGCATCTCCATTATCAGACACGACCATATTGCAGTCCGGCCTAAACGCCCCGACTAGATTCACCACTGAACTAGGAGGTTTCCATCAGTCTGGCCGACCAAGCCAATACCGCGTCAAGGGCGGGGCTTCGCGGCCTGAGGCACCAAGAGCTAATCTAGCCACTCCATTTATCTCCGTCCTAAGGGGGGTTTTTGATGCCACGGCGGTGCGTGGAGTAGATGTTGTGTATTTAGTAGGAGACCAGGGAAAGCACCGGACTCCGAGGGCTACTCCCTTTGTCAATCACCTGGTCCCATCTGGACGAGGTACTCATCTAGTCCACTCAGTATTGCTGCTGAGTGAAAGCAGCCTTGAGAACCGTGCGTACCCTTTAAAAATGAATGGGTGAGATTCTGCTATCCGGTACCATTGCTCTTAGCAAATCGCAATCTATGGTAAAATAGTAGCAATAAAAAAAGTAGACTACCCTCCCTATAATTGTAATGGTGGGGTTATAGGGAAGGCTTGACTTAACCGCAGTGGATTCGTTCGTGTGGTAACTAACGGCATGGTAATAATACAAGGCAGTCACATGACAGTCACTTGAGCGCTGATTATATAATCTGGTTACAAATCACGTGAAGCCAAATACATTCTATTACACATGAAATATAAAGCCAATTCTCAGTTATTTAGATCCTTAAAAGGTCACATATGGTGGATGAATACATAGAATATATAGATATCGAGTTTTTACACTGACCACTTAAGTATAAGTCCAAAAATACGGAATCATCACCATCAGTACAGGAATCTGCTGGCAGAAATGATAAGAACCGCACCCCCACTTCGAGGAAAAATACGAATCAGCGTTCCCTCTCCCCTCTAACCTCTCTTGTTCCACCAACTCCCAGTACTTCTTGTCACTCTTACATTTCCTACAAAATAAACATTCATTATGGGTGTTGAGAGAAAGATCATCACCCGCGGCAGCGGCCCCTCGCCCGCTTCCGGTGACAAGGTCTCGATCCACTACACCGGCTGGATCTACGACGCTAAGAAGGCCAACAAGGGCTTCCAGGGCAAGCAGTAAGCCGGCTTATCCTCCACCGGAGTCTTCGGCTTCTTATACAGGGGCTTTGGAATGCTGAGTAAGTCAATAGGTTTGATAGTTCTAGGTCGCCGGGCCGTGGCCCTTTGAATGTGCAGATTGGGGTTGGAAAGGTTATCAAGGGTAAGCTCTTCTTAGCTACTGGCCGTCATTTGATGTATTGTCTTGCATTGCTAACATTGACGGGCTAGGTTGGGATGAGGGTGTTATGCAGATGAGCCTGGGAGAGAAGTCTACTCTGACCATTACTCCGTAAGTCAAACTTCCCTTACAAGATGTAGAAATATAGCATAATACTGACCATTTTATTTAGGGACTATGGCTACGGTGACAAGTATGCTACCAGACAATATTCAGTTAATCATTTTGAAACGCTGCGAAGTGCGTCGAGTGAACCTATTCTAATAATCTTCTCTACGTAGGGCGGCTGGCAAGATCCCTGCAAACTCTACTCTCATCTTGTAAGTCTGCAGAGTCACGCAAACCTGACAACAATGTTGTGAGACTAACTGTTACCTTGCAGCGAGGTTGAGCTCCTCAAGATTAACTAACGGCAATGCATCAGTCAATGATGAATTCAGGAAGAAAAATAACACTGTTTTGTGTAGAAAGTTCCCGATAACCGTGGTAAATGCCTTAATTCCCTAGGGAATACAGTAGATTGCATATTATCCTACAGAGCTTGAGGAACTTAACAAAGCTGATTAGATATGACTCAAGATATCCATCTCTTATAAGCTATTATAGCCATTGGATCTAATCTATGATGCCTAAATTGTACTGCGATGTCAATTCAATGAGTTAAATTATTTCATGTTTGAACAAGGCTATGTTATATATCTGCGAGACCTTCTAGGCCTTCTGCAAAGCCAATTCGGAACAAAACAAGGTACAAACATCTGGAAAGTATATAACTGAACGAAATAGTATGACAGAAACTCCCTACACAAGAACACCACTTGCACCTTATTACACAAAACCTAACTGAATCCCATACCAAAACTCATACCTTCACCATATCATCCTTCTCGTCGCCCTGCAGATCCTCCAACCCAGTCTTAGCTGTCGCAAAGTCCCGCGTCTTGACCTGTCTCTCAAACAACAGATCCAGCTCAGCATATGACCGTCCCTTAGGCTCTGGCAGGCGGAAGAACGACCACGTCAAACAGCAAACGCACAGCGCACCCCAGAAGAAACCAGACTTTCCACGCCAGTTCCAGGCGTCCACGTTCAGCATGTAGGGGATGATGATTCCAGTGACTAGGTTTAGAATATTGTAGACGTTTCGGGCAAGGACCACGGTTTTAGTACGGAGTCGGGAGGATGGGATTTCGCCCACGAGAGCGAAGCAGACGGGTCCGACGGTGGAATCGTAGATGAAGGTATAGACGAGAAGCATGGAGCCGGTGGCCCAGGAGATGGCGGAGGTGGACGGAGCGATTGAGACGAACCCGATGACGAATAGCACAATGGCTAGGAGGAATAGGCCACCGACGTAGAGGGTGCGACGGCCGAAGTACGACATCGCCGTCCAGGAGATGAATGTCCCCACTACGCCCAGAGCGTACTGCACGAGCGACATGGTGAAGGACTGCGACACGGCGAGACCCGCGCGCTGGTAGAAGACGGTGGAATAGCCCATCAGGCCTGCGCCGCACAGACTCTGCGCTGCCCACGCGCAGCAGGCGATTTCGGTTCGGCGTAAGTCGGTCTTCTTGAAGCAGTCAAGGTAGGAGGTACCGGTTTCAGCGCGTCGCTCGAGTGCGTCAGTGTACACGATCATCGATACGGTTTCTTCGGCGTTGAAATCAGCGGTACCGCTGGTCAGTCGTTTCACAGCCTTGACGGCGTCTTCGCGGCGGTCTTTTCGAACGAGCCACCAGGGGCTCTCGGGGGCTAGAAACACCCCAATGAAAATGGGGACGGGCCAGACCCATTGCAGGGCGAAGGGAATGCGATATGCCCATTGATCGGTGCGATTGGCGAGACCCTTCAACACGCCCGAGGCGAGCAATTGGCCGAGCACCCAGCAGAGGTTAACATATGTGGTGAGATATGCGCGCAGCGCAATTGGACACACTTCCGATGCGTATGTCACGACGAGGGTTTGATATACACCAAGGGGGATGCCCATAAAGAGCTCGCCGACCACCAGTGTTTGGATATTGGGCGCAAAGAACAGAATGAAAACAAAACCAACAGTGGCGGCAAGACATGCCATCAGGGTCTTGCGGTATCCAAAGCGCTCTGAGACAAGACCGTTGAGGAAAAGTCCGATAATCTGACCGCAGGCCATCGCGTTATTTACACCTGCTTGCCACTTAGCCTCGAGCCCGTAGGTCCCATCAGACATGAGACCTCCGTATTTTTCGTTAAATGCAGGAAATGCGAGGAAAGAGCCGATGAGGACGACATCATAGCCTTCCATGATGATGGCACAGGAAAACAGAAGAGACCACCCCACGGCCTTGGGATAAAGCCGAAGGGCTTCCCATAGAGTCATGTCATGTTCTTTCGCAATGGCTGCCTGTGCCTCGGTGCTGTTGGGGAGGTCGAGGTCATCATGGCTCGGTGGGTTGTCGTTCTCAATGTGTTCAGACATGGCGGCCTTTTCTGGAGTCATTTTGGGTCAGGTATGCCGCAGGCCACGTCGGGGCTGTTGCGAATGAAGTGGATGATTGTGTGGGAAGTGAAGGCACATACAGGGCCTTTATAGAAGCTTGCGACACAGGACTCAGACCACAATCAATGGCACGATCTATGCACCTAACCTGGACTATACGAGCATTAAGATTGCCCTAGTCCGCATGATTCTCTGGTTGAATCTCCACCAGTCTGCAGGTGCAGTGCGAGGGCGAAGGTTTTCCCCAGATTCTCTCTGGTGGAACCCCCCGGATTTTTGACGGCCAAAGAAACGGATTTGATTGGCCGAATGTCGGGCCGGAAAAAATTCGAAGGCAATGGAAGAATTGACTTCTGTTCACAAGCAAACGTTGTTTTCCAATCCACTCACAATCATCCTTCAGGAGAGTCAGGTCGAATTATTCCATGCATGTCATACTCACACGAAGTGATGCACACGCTAGCACTAAGGTGCACTTTTTGCCCACACCAACTAGTGTAAAGGGCAAATGCTCAGTTATCCCGAGATGCGATTAGATAGTGGTAGTGAAACAGGGGCATCGAGTGGGCCAGACGCTTGACCTAGAGCCAATTTTATCGTGTCCAGACTCGCCCTCGACTTCCTATTGGTTCAATGTCGGGCCGGGGCACATATTAAAGCGGAGAACCCTAACTGCAGCCAGTTTAGTCGGGCCCCCTGGCCATATTGGCTGATACGAGGTGAGCTATATGTATTATGCACATGTGCATCATATAACCAGGATCCCCATGGGAAAATGGAACAGTGAGAACGATCCTGTCAACGGTCATGCGGGGGAAAGGTGTTGTGGGGTTGAAGCTGGAGCCGGGTGGACACCGCATGGGCCACTTGAGTATGCAGGAGCGATATCTGCTCGGGCCGACATTGCGCCAATTAACAGTATCAATCCTGTAGATCAACATCGTGCATGCCAGTTGTTATCTCTCGGCGTGAGAGGTCCATGATCGCACTGCTCACCAAGGCAGCTATATATCTTTCCTTCCGACCAAGTTGTTCAGCCAGAAAACATTTCTCTCCCCCATCTTCTCTTCATCTCTACCTTACACCTTATACCCCTTGATTATGTCTCCAGCCCCAGTCGGCGAAAAATGGTGGAAGAACGCCATCATCTACCAAATCTACCCGGCCAGTTTCAAAGACTCCAACAATGACGGAATTGGCGACATCCCCGGAATCATCTCCTCTCTCGACTACATCACCAGCCTTGGGGTTGACGTGATCTGGATCTCACCCATGTATGACAGCCCGCAGTATGACATGGGGTATGATGTCGCCGACTATGAGAGTGTCTACCCACCATACGGCACAGTCCAGGACATGGAGGTTCTCATCGAAGAGTGCCACCGTCGCGGCCTGCGCATTATTCTGGACCTGGTTGTCAATCACACCTCGCACGAACACAAGTGGTTCAAGGAATCACGGTCGTCCAAATCAAACCCCAAGCGGGACTGGTACATTTGGAAGCCTCCAAAATACGACGCCAGTGGAGCCCGCAAGCCCCCAAACAACTGGCGCAGTATCTTCGGTGGGAGTGCTTGGGAATGGGACGAGCAAACCCAAGAATATTATCTTCATTTGTTTTGCACAGAACAGCCAGACCTCAACTGGGAGAATGCAGAGACCCGCCGTGCCGTTTATGACTCGGCCATGGAGTTCTGGCTGCAGAAGGGTGTCGATGGATTCCGTGTGGATACAGTGAACATGTACAGCAAGCACCCAGAGTACCCAGATGCGCCGGTCGTGGATCCCAAGTCTGAGACGCAGATATCGCCCGCTTTGTTCTGCAATGGACCTCGTATTCACGAATACCTCACTGAGATGAATGAGGTACTTGCCAAATATGACGCTATGACGGTGGGAGAGCTGCCAAACACGCACACGGTCGATGGCATTCTGCGGTATGTGTCCGCCGCACAGAACCAGCTCAACATGGTCTTTCAGTTCGATATCGTAGACCTCGGACAAGGAAAGGACTATAAGTTCTTGACTACGCTGCCGGGCTGGACCCTGCCGGAGCTCAAGGCCGCTGTCAAGGGTACTCAAGTTATCATGAAGGGGACAGATGGGTGGTCCACAGTGTTCATGGAGAATCACGACCAGGGTCGGTCCATCTCTCGGTTTGGTTCCGAGAAGACCCCAGAATTGAGAGTCACATCGGCGAAGATGCTTGCGATGATGCAGGGCACATTGTCAGGCACACAATTCATCTATCAAGGCCAGGAAATGGGCATGGTCAATGCGCCGGAGAGCTGGACCATCGAGGAATATAAAGACGTCGACAGCACAAACTACTACCAAATGGTGCGGAATGTTTCGAAGGATGACCCGGTGGAGCTGGAAACTGCTATGAAGTCACTCCAGCGCTTTGCGAGAGACCACGCCCGGCTTCCTATGCAGTGGAGCCCGGGGGCTAACGGTGGTTTCTCTTCCTCGTCGGCAAAGACATGGATGCGTGTCCACGACAACTACCCCGAGATAAACGTGGAGGTGGAGGAGAACGATCAGTCCTCTGTCTTGTCATTCTGGAAACGGGTGATTCAGCTGCGTAAAGAATACGCCGACCTCATGGTCTTTGGGGAATTTGAGATCCTGGACGAGCAAAACGAGAAGGTGTTCACATATATCAAGCGAGGGCAGGGTCAGTCAGTTTTGGTAGTATTGAACTTCTCCGAAGAGACACTGAAATTCGAGAAACCCGCTGCTGTGCAAGATCCGAAGGTGTTGCTGCGTAACGTTGAGGGGAATCTGAACGAGTTGCAGCCGTTTGAGGGACGTGTGCTGTTGTTTTAGTTGATAGAGATAATGATTTTGGTAGCGGCCTTAGACTGAATGCATGATTTTGTTTCTTCTCTTGGAATGTAAAAACAAATCAAAAATATTCTCGGTAAAAGATCCGAGCGTCAGGCACGTGCCAAGGCGCCAAGGCAAGGATTCAATATAAAACCTGGGGTAAGACAGGCGGGGCCGACGATGTCTCTTCCTACCGACATCGCGCGCTAGACCCATGCATTTACCACCGTACCACCATGGAGGACTACCGTCGACCCCGAGTGCACAAGGCATGTGACGCGTGCGGGCGAAGGAAAGTCCGCTGTAATGGTCAGCAACGATGCCAGCAATGCGAGCACTTGGGCCTAGTTTGCACATACACTGATAATCGGCTCGCGCGATCAAGGAAGCATTCGCTGCGTCGAGGAGAGATTATCTCGAAACATAAAACGGAGTCGTCGCTAAACCCACTCCTCGCTCCTGCTTTATCATCAGCTTCAGCCTCGTACTTTGAAAGCCTGGTCTCGGAATATATGCGTTTCGTATACCCATTCAATCCCATCATGACCGCCGACGAGGTGCATGACGCAATCAGCAAAATGGACTCTGACAGAGAGAACGCGGCATTTGTATACGCATTTGCTGCGGCGACTATTGACCTGACGCAATCCAATCGCCCCACGTCCAGCGCCTCGACGCAGGTCACCCAGCTCATCAACCAATCCATCGAAATCCAGCCGCCAATGTTTCTTGGGTTTCGGCCGTCCATTCTGCGCACAATGACGAACATCTTCATCCAGATGTGCTTCATGAGCCTCGGTCAGTACGACCTAGGCTTTGTATATTTGCGTGAAGCCATTGCCATGATCCACCTGCTGCGGATTGAGGACAAGACCGTTCTCGGAAGTCTCCATCCTACCGAACGAGCCCGACGCCAACGTCTCTACTGGTTATGCTTCATCCACGAACGATTCATTTCGATCGTTCACTTCTCTCCCGCCACTCTGTCCCCCCACGACTCCTTCCCTGAGGCTGACCCCAACCTACCCCCCGGAATCTCCCAGGGCTGGACCCAAGTCATCAAAACCTTCCTTATCCTCGAGCCAACCTTCATCAACTTCTGGATCGGTGATAGAAGCCAAGTATCCGCAAAATGGGTAGAGCAAAAGCACCGCGAGCTGGACGATGCCCGCTGGGAGCTCGAAGTGTCGATGTTATCCGAGACACAGCAAGCCGATCTCGTCATCACCAGACAATGGATGCGTACTCTTCTCTGGCAGATGGCCATGTCCAACTGCCTTTTGTCCTCTCGTCCTCTCTGTCCGTCCCTGTCCCTTGAACTCCCGCTCCGACTTTCCAGCCAGCTAAGACAATTCCTCACTAAGATCTCGCAAAATACGATCCGCGTGCACGGATCCTCAATCCTCACCAAGCTGATCGAGATCATTAATACCATCGCGGATGTAGTTATTCATCTTCCGCAGACGTCACTGGATGTCACGACTAGCCGTATCGGGGATATCGTATTTATGAAGGGTGTGGTGTTTTCGTTTCATAATTTCCAGCAGGTATCGAAGGATATCCTTATTGAGAAATTCGGCTTGATTAGGGATCGGTTTCCGGGAATTGAGGCTGCTTGCGAGTTGACTGCTTAGCTGGTGTGAGTGACATATCACTTAATAAACTGAACTATAAGCCTGATAAAGCGTAACCAAAGTAGATTTGACTGCTGCGTAGAACGAGGGCGACAGGCATAAGAAATATCCTTGCATCCTTTGTCCATGTGCAGTGAGGTCGTTCTAGGCAACCTATAAGCGAACAGAGACTACGGATCACTTGCTATCTTTGTTCGCCATCAGGGGAGTAGTTGTTCCCCACAATTGACATCCACAGTAAAGTATACCAGAGAGATAGCAGATATTGTGTAGATATATCGGCCCTGACGGAGGTTGATCAGGTCTTAGTCCCGCCATTCCCGACGTTTGTTCGCTTGCTACGGCTTTGTTTTTACAACACTCGAAGCTATTAGGATATCCAGAAGGTCTTTCTCTGAGTATACATAGTTTGCAATCTTTTAGCTCTTTGCTTTCATTCTTCCCAGCATCTTTCAAGATTTTGATCCTTCTGCTTATTATCTTATTTTTAATACCGGCGTATTCCGAAGCCATTGCACCAGGTATCATTGGCGTAAGACACATTGAAACTTCCATAGACCTATTTTTGACGCGATGGTCCTCGTATTTACCCAATATGAAACCACCGTCATTAAACGTTATACGGCTCAATGAAACCACCTTCAGGTATTGCGTCAATAGAAAGCGCAGGAAGATATGTAGACCCACTCTTTTTGTTCTATTTTCAATGCTCTACTGTGTGTAACCCGCACCAGAGTGGATTCGTTCTGGTAGAACCTCCTATTTAGTGTTTACGGGATACTGCTCGCCGTTTGCCCAGTGCCCCGGCACGCCCCCGAACAAAAGAAAGAAGGGGAGACACAAGAAAAGACAAAAGAGGAGAAGAAAACATTAAATTATCTCTCACCAGAGCGATATTCTGAACTGGAAGTTATAAATTCAGGCCCTGGAAGGAATGCCGGGTCATTCTTCTTATCCTACTGTCTTCACAAGCGGTATTTTGCGCTTTGCTCAGCATAAATGTATCACATATCAATGATTCTTTACCTATATCTGGTGGCCTTGGCTGCAGGATTTGAGTTTAAACCAGACGCCAACGATCTGGCGACCAAAGCAGTCCATACCAGTTGTCAACAGCTGTACATCGGAAGCTACAAGTACCAGGTTGACCCATATGAGATCTATCGGCGCCAGGGACAATTCATAGTAGGTTACTGCACCTATGGTGGACCGGGTAGTACCAAGAGACGATGGACACAAATACCCGTGGACCAATGTATTGGTTGGTATAATGCACCGCCGGGAAGTCTTGTCGGTCAAAAAGGGTACGTACAGGCTTCGGCATTAGTTGTTTGGTCTAAGTGCTTTTCTTTCTTGTTGGTTCATTATGAGAGATAGCTGAAAGACCCAGTGGAGGAGCAATCACAAGCAGGTAGATGTCGGAATTGGAACTATTTTCGGAGAAGCGAATGTGAATACCGGATCGAGGCCGATTGTTTGTATTTCTCGGCACAGACCCCGCGGAGAATGTATTTCCAACGTAAGTATTCCACAAAGGTTAGATGGTTTCATAACTGATCGGTCCTCTAGCTGGCCTGATAACACTTGAGCCGACACAAGGTCGACTAGGCTGTTTGGGGATATGGGGTTCATAAGGCAGTATGTGTACTTGGCCATTGTACATAAACGACCAAGATTGTTTCTTCGTGCTCAGCAGAGGGTTTGGTCTGTTTGGGCTAGGGTATAAGGCTATGCGGTCATGGTGGCTCACGACCTGGAATGACTTGTTTACATTCATAGGGTCATGTAGCGTAATTCTCCTATTGAATAGACTTGTCTACACTTTCCCCACTGTACCGGCTGTATTCATCATTCGGCCTGACGAGCACGGCGAGGAACTAGTTGATTCAAGGTGCTAGACGGAGAATGACCTCAGCCGCCCTAAGGCCAATTAGAAAGTTTCGACTGAAAGATGATTTAGTCTAGATCTTTCTAGGACGCACTAGCTTTGCGATGGTATGTCGAGATATGCACGAGCGACACATGTCAAATATCGCTGTGTGCTATTCTAGTATAGATACAACGAAGCTTCTTTTCAGGGCTAAAAGTAGTATTATTCTTCTAGAGATTAATACCCAACCCGAGGTCGAGCATGAAGTGATGGAGATAACAATAGGTATTGGTCTTGTTGTAGACTAATTCTATATTGCCAAGGACCTACTGCTTTTAGTGGCTGAAATCCCTGTCTTTCAGAGTTATTCCATAGCATTTTCTGTCAATGCGGTAGATCCTGCCTATAGGTTTCTCTTTATACATAGCGGAATTACAATCTTTAAATCTCCTTTCACCCCCGATGTGTAAATAAATAGTGGCATCGTTCCTTGTCTCGCATTCCTATACAGTACATTGATCACCGCGTGGCCGCCCATGGACGCAGCCCACTGCGGCATATTATCTCTAGAGAAGCTATTAACCGTCACGACTCATGGGCACATAAACCGCCAACGCGGATCCCTTCAGTTCGACGTTCAACAGCTCCTACGTGCAGCTGGGTACTTGCTTATTGCATCCGGCCGCAAGGAATTACAACCACTGCGGCTAGACGGATCCCGGTGACGGCAAATGAGCCATTTCGTTCAACTTTCCCAATTCGACATTGGTCATGTATCATACCTTGTTGAAAGGACCGCCATCTTCTGCACTTTCCTGTCTTCTCTTACAGAAGTCCCTTTCACACCTATTTCGTCTTAACCAGTTCCACCGTACATTATCTGCCACTATATTTAACAGAGTGGCGCCTACTAAAGCCGTTATATTCGAATCGTTGTATGAGCCTCTTAGAGGAGTAGGGAGACTTGAGAATCATCGGCCAGCAGGCCATCACCTCGTCAAGGTTGGTGGCCAGTTCGGACGTTCTTATCGAATACTTCATAAACTAGGTTATAACATCAGTATACGAAAATACCTCGTTCTCCTTTGGACTTGGGAACAGATTTGGTACTGCTCCGATGGACACAGTTATGAAATTTTCAGTTGACTTAATTCAGCCGGCACATGAACCACGACATCAAGTATGTCAAGGCCCAAAACATATCTTGTGACCTCCTGGGATCAATGCTAATAATCAATCATGTTGCTATTCTGGTAATTCCATGGATATTACAAGGTCCAGTACAACAGACGCGTAGGTTGCCATAGAAACACTGGCAGCGGGAGTTCGGTATTATTCTGGTCATCCAAGAGTCAATATCGCCCAAGTAGAATTGGCTTTGGATCTTTGTAAGGCACCCAGTACCTTGGGCTTTCCAGTAGACTACTTTGTATGTTCTAGGGCTCGCGAGAGGTATCTCGCGGGTATTCTCTAGATAAGATAGGTTACCAACTAGGCACCTGTAAGATGTAGTCATAGAAGCTATAGATTCGAATCCCGGCTGTAAGAGCTTTGGCTTGCCCTCATTCATGTTACGGGTATAGACTTTTAAGTTTTAATGGGGCGGGGTTATTTCCAGGGTTATTACAGTATCCTGGGACCTACTCAGTATTGTAGTCGCAGCCGAATCCCTTGTATTTTTTTAGCTCTCCTGTTAACTGGTAGATAGTCTATAAAATATGCTGACCAGGCTTATTTCATGAGTCTGCGTTTATCTGCACTCCCCATATACTGTCGCTAAGAATAGTCGCTCTGCCCTCGGTTGATCATATGGTATTTTTACACTATCTAGCCGAGAGCCCACGCAGGAATGACTTGCGAAATTAGTGTGACTTTCAGATTGTTCGATCTGAAGATCCTTTGTCAGAGCGCTTGTCCTCCTTGGTCACAGTCCTCCTCTTGCAGTTGTCCAAGTCCTTCATTTCGTAACTTTTAATATTCCCACCTAGGACAGTACAAGGCAGTAGTAACAGCTTTGAGCATTCCATCAACTGGTGTAACCTTTATTGTATTCCTCCATTGTTTATGCAGCCCTAGTAGGAATCATATCAAGCTGTAATGGTAATAGAAGGAAACCAGAACTCTTGCACAAATATGTGCTGTATTGTACTTATATATAAAGTTACGAGCCCTACAGGTCTTGCTGGGTCGAGAACGTGGGCCATTTCCGAGATGATATCACGATTCACGATTCACCACTGCACCTTTTATAGTGTCGCCCGGCCATGGCCATTGTCATTTTCAGCGTTGCCATATAACGATTAGCCATCATCTTTGTGCATACTATCTTAGAACCCCATTACCATCGTGAACATTTCGGGAATTGCGTGGGACCTTGGTGTCGCAGTAGGTTCCAGAGCTCAAAATACTCGTCAAATGGGGTTCGCTACGTCGGAGTGAGGCTTCTTATTAGAGTCAAGCCCCGGCAACACTCAGCTATGAATACCGCTACTACCCAAGGGCAGAATGGCTCGGTTAGTTATTATTTTGGTCTTCCTTTAGCATCGTTGTACCTCAAGCCAGGTTCTGAGAAGGATGTACAGATACCAGGGTCAATTCCCGCAGCTCAGGGGGCTCCAAAGAGTGATCAGATTATTAGCCTTTTCACATGTCTAGCTATAATTTGGGGATTTATGGTGACAGTCGGACGAGGTGTCATGGTGCAACAACGGATGGACCATCAAAATACCGGATTTCTCCCAGTTCTCATCGGGATCGGCGAATGGTTCAGCATCTTCGACATATCCTGGGTTGTGTGCTATACTGACCACCGGCTGCGGACTTCGGCGCCTCGGATAGATTTTGAAGCCCACTTCTCTGAAGATGGGATCCTGCAGGGGTCTCCAACCGCCTCGCTGCTATGGCTGGAGATGAGCTGCCTCGACGCGATATATGGAATTGGAAGTCTCCTTCAGTTATTTTGTGATACAATCCGCGCTCGTATGAGCCACCAGGAAGCGTCTCAGTCAGGGGTTGTTCACGATGCCGCAGATGGGAATGGGCACTCCGATGACAATGCAATACCTATGGAGACATGGGCAACAGGTGGCCCAGTAGATATGACAAATACCCCAACGGACGACGGACCAGTGTCCAACAGCTTCAACCGAGTTTGGAATAAGACCGGATTGTGGCTGAGAGGATGGCTAGCACTTGCAAGGGTAGCAACTGTGCTGGAGTGGAAGTACATGTTTAAGTTTGCGCCTGCCAGCAGCCAGGAAAATTTGGAAGCGGGAGGAGTACAGGGTAGTATCCCTGAAAGGCTTCCTGACATTCAATATCCACGAGTCCATCACTTATTTTCAGATGATCAGGAAGAACAGAACAGGCTCAACGATCTCATGCGTACATCGGACAGGTTACTCTTGGTATATGGACCGTATATTATGGAAATTCATAATTCCAAGAAAGCCCAGGTTCCACCACTTCAAGACCTAAAGTTCAAAGCAACAGCCCGTCTTGTCTTTCTCCTAACTTTATCGATTTCAGGGCTCATGACCAAATCCAGAACATGGGCTTGCGGCTTTTTGATATTACTTGTTCCTCTTCTTCTTCATTCTCGTATTGAGAAGCAATCTGAGGTGCAGAGGGAGTTCTTTAACAAGGTGAGCGAATGCTCGAGGGAAATCGAACGTACCTCACGATACCTCCACGGCAAATACGTCGAACCGCAACATACGTATTGGGCGCAGAGACCTTTTGATGTCTTGCTTCGCTATAACGGTGTCATGGCTTGGTGCCGGTATAGCCCTGTACCTCCAGGAGAAGAAAATGAGAGACAAAGTGGGAACACTTGGATTGAGCTAGTCATCCCAAGCACGTCTTCCAAGTGTAACCGTGTGTATAAATTTATCGATTGCGCCGCCCACAGCTTTCTCCCTTGGGGCCATTGTGACAACTGGGACGTTAACATTGTCTATGCTTAGCTTACATTTCTCTTCTCGTGCTTTGCTGTATGGCTGGGGGTAGTGGGTCTTGCCTTTGCCTGGGCACTAAAATTGTTCTCTCCATTTTCTAAATGGGGCAAAGGGGATCAATGGACCCTGGCATGGTATGTATTCATTATCCAGTGGCTCACTAATGGTGACCTTTCCCGCACACTCGCCTTTACTGTGACATCTATTATATCGTTGGCCAAAACCATGGTCTTCCCGACGGCTATCCTGGGCCCAGCCAGCACTATGCAGCTAGCATCTCCTACAACGGCGGCAGCGAACGTGATACTTACAACGGTTTCAGCCTGTTCTGCTAGCACTTCACCATACTGAGAGACAGCCCTGTCTAACATTTAACACAGATTTATATCGTACAGTACTGATGTAGTCACGGCCATTCTTGAGAAGCTTAGCCTTGTTCCGTTCGCCATTCGAAGTCATTGAGGAACAGAGGAAATATGCGGGTTTTTTTTATTCGATCTACATGCCCAAGTCTGGGTGTTAACTCGAAGTACCTATTCTGAGCAGTGGTTATAGTTTACAAATTTCGCAAAGATTGGTTTGTTTATTGCTCCTCCACAATCGCTTAGCACAACCAGGCTACTTTGCAGACCTACGACGGAATTTGAATGTGATATTCAGTGAAGAAACCTTCCCTTCCGTATACAATTTGCACCTTTAGGAGAAAATAAGAACTTCTAGAGTCTATGGCGTATGCCTGGAGGAGAGACAGCGAGGTAGACAGCACATTCTACATTTATGGATCTCCGTAGTGCGGTATGGGAGAAAGCATGCATGATTATACACTGGAGTATCCAATCTTGCATCTTCTCCACCCACATAGTATACCACGCCGCCATGGGTTTTCAAGCTACACGACAAGCTTGCGAAGCTATCCTCCTTGTGGGAGGTTGTGAGGAAGAGAGAAACAGTATTTACTATTTTCGAGGCGAATCCACAAAGCACTAAACATATTAGTGATAGATCCTCTTTAACCAACAGTGTGGAGCTCGGCTCGGCCCGGGTCAATCTCGGTAAAATGTGATATATTACGACATCCTATTTACAACGCACCAGCTTCCGATAATTGTCGATGTAACGTGGAGAAGCCGAGTGGATATGTTCCTAGTTCGAGGTTTTATTTTTGAGCAGATGATTAGTTAGTAAATCACCAACATTCTCTACAGAAACTTGTAGTAACTTTGGTTCTCAGATAAGGTCAACCAAGGCTTGCGGCCAAGACAGGAGATCAAAGCTTGTTACTATCCCGAGGTTATGAACAGATTGATACAGATCGACCGGGGTTCTTAACCTTAAGTAGATCAAAATCACTTCTCTCTGCGCCCAACTTTATATTGTAGTCGGCGTTTCTTTGCCCTTTGCCTTGGGCTGTTTGGTATTGCAAACTCCTCGTTGGGTAGGCCCAATCATGCCTCGAGGCCTCTTGTCAATTATCATATTCTTTGGATGCCTATCATAAGGTATTCTAGCAGTAATAAGCTGACATTAGTAGTACATTTACGTAACCTCGGCGGATTTCCGCCCTTCCCCCAGTTAGCATTGTGGAGCATCCCCACCATTAGTGTAGCAGGATTCATAGATATTTGGAGGTTATAATGAGAGACCCCCCAGGCCCTGGCTAGTGCACTTAATATCTTCTTGTGAGGTTTGCACCACTGGCATAGTCACGCAACATGATGGAGACCCCGGCATTTGAGAGTGAGAAGATACATATTAACAAAGATGATTGGTCTGATTGTCAACCAGCGTCGCCAGTACGTTTACCGTCGATGCAGGAAGATGGTTCGTCTATCAAGAGCGACAACACCTTCCTTCTCTCAACTATCGGTCATTGCTTGCTAAACATCTTCGTTTGGACACCAGCGAGGTAGCAAACCATTCTCTCCTCTTCTCTCAGTCTAGTTACTGTCTTCGAGCTGAACATTACTTCAGATTCCTTATCTATTGCTTTCCTCCGCTTGAACGTGTCTTACGAGCTCCTCCTGCTATCTCTCAGGAGTACCAACTGCAGATGAAGTTCCTGTCGTCCCTTTTACTGCTTCTGGCCGGTGCAGATGCAATCAATGCTCATCCCACAGGCGTGGAGCAATTCACGCGTGAGCTAGAAGTAGTTAGTCCGAACCCATCCGGGCTTGCTCTGCGAACCCTCCAACGAAGAGCACCCAACTGCAGCCGCATGAATACTTTCATCTCCAGAATCTCATCGGCTAAAGCTCAGTACGTGTAAACAACAGCCCGCCGACGCACAGAGACTATTAACTTCAATAGGGTTGCCTTCATTACCTTGGGCCCCGAAGTCGCCAAATACATTTGCCGCGCTATAACACATGGCAATCCCACGTGCAATGACTGGGCTCAGGGAATCAGATACGTCCTTGCGCTCCTCTTCATAATCTTTGGCAAAGATGGCGCACAGCCAGCAGTTCGTCCTGGCGAGCCAGTTCGCAGGATAAATGCAAGAAGCTTCATGAATATCGCTACCAATGCTCTGAAGGAAAGCAGCTTGCAATTCGCCAGCATCGAGGCGGACAACAATCTGCCCAGCGTTGAGAAGCGGTCTTCAGATGAGCCATATCTAGTTGAGAGATTTCTTATCCGCGGCTTGTATCATGCTGATCTAGGAAACGATTCGACTGATATATGGGTCAACCATTGGAGTAATGGCGATAACACCCTGCAGATTGCCCCAGAGGATGGTCAGCAGGATGGCAACTCTACTTTAACTAGGCGTTGGGATAAGCCTGGCTTCAAAATTGCTTACACCACGAGAAAGACTGCTCCACTGAATGAGCAGCAGGCCCTGATGATGGCTAGACATATTAGTCTGAAATGGCAGGGCATAACCCTTGGCAATGATATCGCGGACTTCATAGGGTTTGTCGAGACAGGGCACACGGCAAACTTCTATTTCCGCATCATTCCTGAGCACAAGGGGTACGGGTTGAACTACGAGAGTGTGGATATTTGTGGCGGTATGGCAGGGATGTTATAAGATGCATATAAAGAAGTCATCCATCAGTTGGATATACTCATCCTGGTGATAGGCATGGTATCGGCTCCACCAGTTGCCTAGAGCATACCGGGGCGGGATGGGCTGGTCGCCGGATATTGAATAGAAAGCTTTGATCACAGCTTTGTAGTCATGACCGTAGCAAAAGAAGTATCCATCGATATGATCACCAGGTTTCCGGCACGCCACGAAGTCTCCATCAAAGAGTATGGATGTTGAATCATGGAGGGTGGCGTATCCGGCTTTGGACATCACCCCTTCTCCCATATCACAACCAACAGCCGTCGCAAAGATCAAGGGTCCGAGCTGTGCCTCCCAAGTTGAGCGAGCCACCCAACTGGAACTTCTCATCTAGTCCATACTGCCAGGGAGCTCCCTAGTTGGTGTGTTTGCAGTTGAAATCGACGTTCAATCACGCGGGAGAAAATTGTTCCTTATCGTAACATAGATGGAAATGGTCGGTAATGATCTGGCATCTGCTGGTTTTCCTCGGGCATTTCCTCGATATTTAGCGAAGATCTTCCGCCCCATTTAGCTCGAGCGACAAACTTTCATTTCTTTTCTCCAGCCCCATTAGCTCTTTTCTTGTCTCTTTCGACGTGAGTGGGTGCGTTCCACATATCCGACCTTCCTCACCGCCACACGATGCTACTCCTCTCTGAGTGGTGAAAATGGTTAAGCCATTTTAGATACTTCTCTAGTGCTATATCGCGGGTTGTGTTAGCAGAAGAATTAGACTTTCTGTCACGACTCACGCAATACCTAGCCAGACTGTCGAAAGGCAATCCATATAATTCTAGGACAGGGGTTGACGAGATGCTCGCTCATATAGATAATTTCAAAACTAAATTCTATACAGTTCTTACTGAATTCTTACCCATACCCTTTTGAACTGATTACCAAACATGCCTAGCTGGATCCCTCTCACTGCGCCGGGGATAAGGCTCTACGCAATAATTCCCTGCAGTTCCGAAGAGCCAGACAGTACCAATATCGCCCACACTTGATTTGATCTTGCCTATATCCCAATCAGAGAAGATTCCGACGATCGCTATATATCCTCCAAGTTGACTATCCAGATATCATGAATTTTATCATTGATGACAAATCAGCTGCAGAACAGTACTCCAGAGGCCACACAACAGGAGAGAGTGCCCCTGCAGCATACCGGCACGGCTACGTACGGACAGACCGGCTGGGCGATCATGGATCTATGATAGGTAATCTCGAGGCTTAAACTCTTGTAAATGGACTAGCTTCTCTTGGTGCGGCACTGCCCTCCTACCAAGGGTCCAATAATTCCGATACCTGCCAACACAGACTGCGCTTAGCTCCATTGAATACGAGGGAGTAACAGAGCAACCCCACCTTTTTCTTGTCCGTGCGGAAATCTTAGGTACCCCTAATTTATTACTTAAAGCTTTGTCTGTTAAACTCAGCTATCGATGCTCTGCTGAGTTCTTTACCTGCTCTCTCCCCGAAATTTTCAGGTCTACGATTTCTAGTCCTAGCCTTTCAGCATGCAGTTCGCAATTCTATCACAGATTGCATGCGCAACCCTGTTCATTCGACCAATCCAGGGTGGTCATCTCCTGGCCTCGGCACCAACAAGCACTGATGTGGATAGAGCATTCGACCCCCTTGTCACTGGTGCGCCTATGAATCCAGCCGTTATCAACGAGTTGGATAAAAGGCAAGCGGGGAGCGACTTCGTGGCATGGTGGGCATACTCGGACAGTTGTTGGTCTACCTGATAATCCACGCATGATTAGTCTGCTCAGACGTAATAAACAATGATTGCAGGGAGTCCTCAAACATGCGATTCGGGCTCAGCCTACGTGACCTGGTCAACGTACGGCCAATGTTGCGCTACTAGTGACTCTACATGCAATTATGCCACGGCTTGCGCACCTGATGGACGAATCCAGTATTACCAAGGAGAGGCCCGCTGGTACGTACCATGAAGAAGGGCTCCCGGGACCTAGGAGAGAGTAGAGAGCGCCAAGTCTGATCCTCATTATAGTGACCCAGGCCACTACTGTGAAGTATACACCATTTTACCCTCATCAGGTAGTCCCCTAAGTGACAAGCGGGATATGGTCATGTGCCCATCTTCCACATATGCCTATCCTGGGACCTGGTACCGCCAGTCGTACGCCTGTACGTGTGCCCTATGGCTTTTCTTGAATTCAGGTACCTAGAGAACTGACAAGTTGCGAATAGTGACTACCGATGTACCTACGAGTACAGCTACGCAAAGAGAAACGGAAACAAATACAGCTACGCAAAGAGAAACCAAAACAGTAACGCAGACCGTGGAGACTGGTGACAGCATGGGTCTTCAGGGGATGCGGGCTGTTCCAAGCGCACTGGGGGCTTTTCTAATTATTGTCCTGCTAACCATTCATTGATGCTGCTGAAACTTGAAGTATTTACACTCTTATCGCGGACGACCGACTATGCCTGATATTCACACCACAACTACGGAAATCACCTACTACAATTGAAATATTTCTGCTTCAAGTGCCACACATCTCGTGGAAACATTTATCCCGCCTCTTACCTCCTATCATTATAGCAGACGATCCGAATCCCCTCAGTGAGACGGGCATCTCTCATTCTCCGGTAGCTACACGACAATACATCCTCCGCCCTGGCTCTGGGCGCCAGGCAACCTGGATCTCTCTGCCATCACATTTACCGAGGCAAACCCTGGAGGTCCTACCTGGACATCTAACTGTGGGCAATTGTGCACCCAGTTCTGCAGCGGCCCGGGTACAAATTACGGTTCGGGGGACACTTGAGGTACTTTTGAATGGTGGATTTCATAGTAGAGACGTTTATTACTCAATGGAATTACCGATCACACGGATGAGGCACCGAGGTCTTTGGACTTCTGCTCCGATAGGATGGCGCTGTACAGACGATCCATAGCATGAAAAATAACGTCTATTAACTATCTTTATTGATTATCTATATTTGTAATGATCTTTCAGTAGGGCTTGCGGAGACGGAGAAACAGCGATGGGACCATAAGGTTGAGTGTATTTAGCGTGTACCTACTATACTAGTCAAGTGAATTGTATATTGAATGATAGCAACACAAGCAACAGGTTGGATGGAATAACACCATTCACAGTACTATATTAAATTAACTGAGCTCTGCTCTCGTGTTTCTTTTATCTTCGTTCGGTCAAGCTTTCTCTAAAGCGCACCCCTTGTCACTATTACGTGTCTCTTAGCTGAGACCGGAAAAGTCAAAGCTTATAAAAATTTCAGCCATCTGCAATCAAGATGCTTCCAAGTCTTACATCGGAGTCGCCAATAATGGAAAACAGTTATACGGAAACAGCTACCTACGTTGTGGCGGACTATGGAGTACCCCATAGCAGCCGCCATATGTATACCGACAAACGGCGCCTGCGAACATTCCTTGAGCGAAAGTATCGTTATTGGACGGCGAGAGCAGCCAACGTTTCGCAGTATGTCGCTGCCCAGAGGGTTCTACCTGATGTGATCCAGTGGTGGGATAATAATCACCGCGGTCTTCCACCTGCGCGCCTGCAGTATAGCGAGGAGGCGGAGGCAATTATCTGGAAATTTGTTGGTATGGGGCATGACATAGCCTGTGAGGGGTTTCAAGATATCTTCAATGACGCCTGCAGAGCGTGGGGCATATTGGGGTCCGGCCGCTGCGCGATCCAGGATGGGTCAAAGAAACCCGACAAAGGACACAAACCCCTCAACACTCGAACAAGGATGGAGGACAGGCCTACAACAGTCCTGGAGGTGGGATATTCGCAGTCTTTAAATCAGCTAAGATGTGATGCCCAGCATTGGCTGACCTGGACTAGGGGTACTCCAGCAATTGCTTGCAGTACAACTGCAAAAAGATGATAATTACTGCAGTACTTCCAGCAAGGCTTTTTGCTGGAATAGAATTTATGGTTGAACTATGAGAGTGCGGATATTTGTGGCGGTATAGCGGGGATGTTATAAGATGATATTGCGAGAGCCAAGAAGCACTCCAGCGCCTCCCCAGATATAGAATAAGATAGCGATAAGCTGGATTATCTACACTGGGAAATATCCACACTCTATTCCCACGCATACTAGATGCTCTTCAGGGCCGCTTGGGAGAAAAGTCAACCCTATGCTTGGATGAGATGGTGGAGTTTATATGGGTAGTAGTATGTAGCAAAAGTAGGATTATTTTGCAAGTGCATATCGTCAAGCACCAATATCATCTATCGGGATATATTATTATCTATATTCTAATACAAACAATTAAGATATTAACACAAGATGGCGATGATTGTATCTATCGCAGACCTGTAGACTCATCTCGTACTTTGCCCGTCTAGCTCAGCTGGGTCTCGCAATTGTCTGTATGGCCCTTGAGGGTCATCTATCTCAAAACGAGGGATGGAGTCCAATTCATAATTTCCACACTCGGTTGTTGCGACTTCGTATTGTTTTTGCCCATGAAGTGGTATGTTTGTAACATCTTTCGCATTTTTGCCTTGGCGCTTTCGCCCCAAAAGAATCAAAAATGCGACAGCCACAGTAGCTAATATACCCCCTACGGCAGCGCTAACTCCTATTCCTGCCTTGGCACCAGTCGATAAGCCTCAGGCGTGTTCTGATGACCCTTGAGTTGTTGGCAGTGTCGCAGTTTCTGACGCGGTGAGCGAAGCGACCGTCTCCGGGGCCGAATTAATGTCGGTGGACCTCCAACGCAGCTCGACTCCATATGCGTTCCAACCCTTCCCCAGTGCCATACGGCTGGTTTCTTTACCCATAGTCACTGAATTCGTCTGGAAAGTAGTGTAAACCACGTCGTTCGTAATAGCGTAAGCGCAAGCCTCGAAACTGTGCCACGGTTGCTTGTGGACACCGGTCGGGCGTCTGCTAAATGTCCAGCTACTTTGTCTACAAGGATCTCATATCAGCATATAATCCAGTGTTTTGCAAAGCCTATTACTCACTTATACACGGGGCAACATAGCGCTGTAGTCGCTTGGTTATGTACCTCCATATCGCCGCTCACCCACCCGCTAGGACAAGCGGTCCCTGGTGAATAGTATGACGACGAGGCCCAGCCGGATGGAAGACATCTTGCAGTATTGTCAGGACCTAAGTTCACCCAGAAAGACGAGTCGGTTCCCCAGGTTCATTTGAGTATCCATAAGTCATCCAGGCATTAACTGGGCGGAGTAAAGGTCGTCGTCAGTGGAAGGGGGCGACGCTGCCGTGGTGCTTGTGCTTGTTGTAATTGGCATCATGGAATGCATCCACGGTAACAACAAGCTCTCAAAATATAGGCGCAGGAAACAAGGAAAACTGGCATTAAAGGCGTGTTAATGAGAAAACAGCGAGTAGCCAGGGCCATCAATACGCTCAACTTCGTATAGAAAAGGTACAATATTTGCGGTTACATTCTCCTATTTTTACGGTTCCAAGGATTGTATTCAGCCTTGTCAATACCCCCCACTGTCTTCGCATGGTATGGAGCCTTGCCAATACGTAGCTCATTCCACTAAGGCACGTAGCCTCGTCATGAGGCTGTGGGCCCGAACTCGGCGACTCCTGAGGTAGGGTGCGAGAAGATCGTGTCGATCCCTATGGGAGGGTTCGTATATCGTTTCCTTCTACGATTTTTGCCAGCTGTATACAAAATGTAATACGACCTGGGACGGACGGTGATGCTTTTGCCACAGTGGTTCTGGCAGTTCCACACACGATCTTTTCGCGCCCTATCTCTGTACGCAGTATACCCTCGACCCGCTCAGTATCTCCACGCAAGACAATATTCCACAACAAGCAACTTGGCGTTCCACCGTATTGTCCAGAAATTATTTCAATACTCACTCTTCTTGTCCTTTCATATTTGCGCATGCCTCTTCTTACAGTTGCGCAGTCCAACCAAGGAGTTAAGATGAGCAATGCCTCAGCAGGATAGAAACCACTTCCACAGACGTCCAACGCGATTGGCCCTCTTCTGAGAATAATTTGCAGGCGGACATACATAAGGCGAGATCAAGGAGCTGTCTTGGCAGTATTTCTCTCAGCTGCTTAGGTAAAATGTGAATTCAACTACCCCTGGCCTGGAAATCCAGGCTATATGGCCTTTGACATGCTGTCTCTCCTTACTCGTAATAATATAGAACAAGGTAATTTCTATAGAAGGATTAAAAAGACTCGCAAGGGAACGATGGAGTGGAATTCTTCTTTCTTATTCTCGGCTTTGTACCCTTGTTCTCGTACAGCCTTACTCACAACGATCATCATCTGATTAATTTCCTCCGGAAGGGATGATCAGTCGGCACTAATGTGACATGTATGCGACTATTATGGGGATAGGTCTCATCTGAACTAGCGGAATGACGCTTTGGTCGCGAAATACGTGTGGCTCAGTACCATGATGGGAACTATACTTCCTGAAAATAATCGGATAGAAGCCAACCGAATACCAAACTTTTCTCTAACCTAGAAGGGGCGGATAGTGGGCATAAAGACCCGGGGGGTCTGAGCCTATATAGAACTCTAGGAACAATCTAGAAAAACCCGGAGCGGGTTCTGCCTTCCGTCCCCATTTAAATTACTCTGTTTAGCTTGAAGCCATACTTGTTTATTATAAGATACACTTTATGATCATCCATTGACTAGGTCGTTAATTGACAGTCGCATGTCTACCTACCTTCACTTAGCTATTTGGATCTCGTGTCGGGATTCAGCCTCACCACCAAAGTGATCCCTACCATTTCGAACGTTAAACTTTGCAGGAAATTAGATGTCTGGATGTCTGGATACCGAAATATATATATCAGCCTGGTTGCTCAGCGCCTGAACATATTATTAGCAACTGCGGGCCTCACAAGACGACCCAACTCCACCACCCACTTCCACTCTCCCGCCAAACCCCGGGGAATCTGGTCAAGACCCGACTGGAGATACGATAGATCGATCGCCGTTTCCCTCAGCATGGCTGCGTCGCTCTGGGTACATCCTCCTTCTCGTATTTGCATACACCATCCTCGCTCTGTTCTCGTGGACGGTCACGGGCTATCTGTCGTTTCGCCCAGTCTACACTCATAGTCATGAGAGATTATACAAGGCTGCCACGGTGATCCAAGCAATTGTCAACACTTTAACTATTCCTTTAACTTCTGTCGTGTGTTCAAGTGCCGCAGTAATCTTTATACAAAGAAAACAAAGTAATCTCTCTCTGCGGCAAACTGTGGTCCTTGCGGACAAAGGCTGGACCGACTTGCCAACGTATTGGAACCTCTTGTCTGGATTGAGCTCGCGAAGCTGGCAGAGATACGGAAGCTCGTTCCTTTTCATTGGCATATTCGCGATCCTTCTCGGCCCCGTCATAAACGGCCTACAGCGACTCTTCGTGACAGACACAAGCACGAAGATCTCTGCCAATTTGGGGACTGTTTCCCACTTGCTTGATATGCATGACCCTTGGAGGAAATGCGCCGTTTCTACACCTTCAGGTTGGACTGTCCTTCAGACCCGCAGTGCGCTAGGATTTCTAAGTACAGGGCAAAAGCCAGCTCAGCTCTGGCAACGTGGCAATTTCACCTGTGGCACAGAATCTCTGTCTAGCCATCAGCCGGAGTACTGCAATAGTGGCGGTCCGACACTTGGGAATATGTTCTCTTTGGATGATCCATTTTTGGCGCAATTAAGTCGCGACTATAATACAGGGATAGCCCGAAGTTTTATACCTCGAATCAATTCGACCGCACAGTTTCAAGATATTTCAAGCTCTGATTTCCCACGGAACTGTGATTCAATACCAGGGGCTTTCTTTGCCGAATACCACGATTCCACATTGAAAAACTGGGGACTGAAGGCTTGCATGCCTGCTAGCATCTCGCAATCCCCATGGAAGCCTACAAGGACCCGCCAGGACTTCGAAGAAGAGCTTTTTCTCAATATCAGAGTAGCAAACTACGGCATCAATACTACTTTTTACAAAGTCACCCTACGCACTACGGCGGGCTACTTTGAACTGCCTAACTTTGTGAATGGGGGTCACGCTGGTCAATTGCGTGAGAGGGACCCGTTTGATGATGCGGGCTGCGGTCTATTCTGTTCAGGTCCCTGGGTCATGGATACCGCCGATCCAGACATTATTGAAAGGAACAGAGGGCCACTAGCGACAATCGCCATAGGTCTTTTCGGCGAAGGATCATTTATAGCTACCCGTTCGGCCAATCCATCTGCCTTCAAGATGAATGAAACTGCTCCCTGGCCGTGTATAGATCTGGTTCCACTCGGGCATTTTCTGTCCGATGATTACCAGGACGCTTACAAATGTGTCACACCGTATGATAGTTCCGGTACCGGGCTCTTCGGGGTACTCAATGAAGTTCGGCAGTACTTACTAAACTTCCAAATGGGCAGGAAGAATCTCCAGAAGGCTTTTGAGGCGGCGGCGTTTTTAGCCAACCAAGGCTGGATGGAGAGCCTTACTCCAATTTGCAATACGCTGACTGTTCACCACGATAACGGGCGCGATGTTCAAGTTCCCGTTATTTCGATGGCGGGTTTGGTACTCATCTCTGTTCTTCTTGGACTGCATCTTCTCATTCTGATTGTCCTCGCCACTTGGTCTGCTATGTCTTCAAGGTGGACAACCAGTCTCGACTCTTTTACTATGATGAGAATCGGAGGCACAATTGCGGATAGTATTCCATTGAAAATTACCCAGAACAGAGACCCGATCGAAGTTCTAGATAAATTGCCTGGATGGATTGGCGATGAGGCCGATGATGGCGAGTCGGCCGGTAGAGTTGGGCTAGACGCCCCGAGAAAGATAGATGAGTACCGACGATATATTTGTTACGAGGGAGGTCATGAGCCGACAAACGACAGAGACTCGGTGGCGAATATAATACGTAAGCAGAGGGCAGATGGTAGGGCTTGAATATACTAGGCAATCTGTATCCACTTTTTGAGGATGTGTCAGTTGATTCTTGCAAGACTCTTTACAAGGGTATTACGGTATCCATAGTTTGCCCTAAAAACCACGTTTTTGACCGTTGAACAACCAGAGACTAGGCCTCAGCGGTTTTTGCGTGTAATTGGTACGCTCCTTTCTTGCAGTATCGTTTAGAACTCTACTTCCACGTTTCTCTCGACTGCCAAATTACAGTCTTTTTGGAGCCCAGCAGCTGTTGAGGTTGATTCTCTTTGTTTACAGATGGCTAATCGTTTTATAATGTGCCTCAACATAGCCGGTCACAATAGATGTCGGGGAAAACTTGAACCAGTAGAATTCGGGTCAAAGTTTTTGCTTGCACCAAGTCACAAGGAAAATAATATTACGGACGAAAGAGCCCACGAAAACTGACAAAGGTGGTGATAGAATAGTACATTTAACGCTTCAGACAGCGTAGTATTACTCCAACAGAACCTCTTAGTCGCAGTATTATTCAGAGCCCATATATGCCACGGTACAGTAGATGGAATTCTACTGACATCGAATACAACTACCAGAATGCTTTTTGTGCAGTGGTGTATGTCGCGTATTATCAATTGCTCGGCCGATTAGAGGATGGCCCCTTCGTCGCAGAGCCCGAGCTGTTTGAAGTCTGTTTGTTGGCTGGAGAGAATATGAGTATCAAAGGATTATCAATTACCTCATTAGTGAGTATGTGCACCTTTAATCTGTTCAATCTGTCGGATTGCGCCCTCACAAGTATCCATATGTTCTGGTCTATCATCGCAGGGTAGTGGATGTAGCAAGTCACTTACCCCCTTTAAAACACACCCACATTGAGTGCGCGACGACTTGATATCATTATCTGCACTGGCTCTATAGGGGCTCACAGCGATCTATGGACCGCGCAGAAGCCACACACCGGGAGATTAGTAGTTCGGTGGGTGACCACCAGCGAATACGACCTGTTGAATGTTTTTCTTTGTTCCCCATTCTATAGAGATCTTGGAATCTTGAATCACCTCTCAGCACTTTGGTTTCCACCCAAAACTTCTTCAAAAGACTACGCTGATGTGATATCTCGCGTTGATTGGACATGACTAGCTTCCGCTAGGAATAGATACAGCGCTCTTCGTCGTTCTGTAAGGGCATAGAGTCTCCGACTTGGCTCATGTCCTTCCTTTTCTAGCATACATTGCCAAATTGTCTGAAATAAGTAGCTAACCGCTGCGTGTGCACGTAATAGTAACTGAAAAGATCGCTGACCTTGGTACGTAACTACTAAGATACAAGAACAGAGTCTAACATGCTAATGGCTGGCCGTGCCTTTCCCAACGTCAACCCGGGTATAGCCGACGGTACACTTGGTTCTTTTAGCGACCATAGCCGTGAAGAGATTCTCATGCTCCGGGACCCAATTGATGACCAAATACAAGGTATTACCGCCAGGGCCACCGAGCGTGCAGGCGGTAGCATGGCCGTCAACCTTAATTTCATGGGTGACGTTGCCTTGCTGGTCAACACGAACAAACTTCTCCAGACCCAGCAGGCTGAGCCACATGCCGCCCTTGGCATCGATGCATCCGCCATCAATGCCGACGATGCCATGCGATTCCGTGTTCCCCGTCTGGCCCGTGGGTGACAAAATGGCCGGCGACCAGACTTTCTGGCGATTGGCCACGCGGCCTGCGGCGCCGATGTCCCAGCGCAGAAGGCCATATCCGAACGTCTCGGCACAGTAGATGGTCTCGCCGTCGTTGCTGATGAAGAGCGCATTTGGGAACATGATGTTCTCCGCCGCCACGTCCACGGACCCGTCGGTCTCGACGACCAACAGTCGACCGGCACGCGGCTGCTCACCGTGCAGCACCCGCGCCCCCGTGTCGCCCACGTACACGCGCCCCGTACTGTCCACCGTCATGTCGCCGCAGTAGCCCGTCATCACGCGCGACATGTCCGCGTACAGCGTGTCCTTGCCGGTCGAGAAGTCGTGCCGGTACAGCTTGGCGTCGAACATGGACGACCAGATCAGTGCCCCGTCCGGCGTGAAGCACATGCCGTTCGGCTGGTGTTCTACCGTGCACAGCGCCTTCTTCTCGCCGGACTGCGTGTCAATACTGTGAATCGTACGGCCGGTCATGTCGCTGATGTAGAGGAGGCCATCTTTATATCGAGGCGCCTCTCCAAAGAGGAAGCCATCGGTAAGAGTCGTATGACTGAGCTGCTTTGGGCCAGTCATTCTGTGTGTCCTGAATATAATAAAAGCAAACGGGACAGGAGGAGAGAAATTGAGGAATAGAGTAGTTTGAGTAGGATATGGTTGGAGTGATCCAAGTTTTCCTTTAGAGGAAGAGAGAGAAGACAACTACTTGGTAAACTTATTGACATCGGAAAGTTTGGTTCTGACTTCAAGCTTAAATATTAATTCTGCTTGGGGATTGCGGGGCCCCGTACTGGAGAGACATGCAGGGACGAAGAGCCTGGGGTCCCCAGATCCGCAGCTCCCTGCAGAGAAGGCGTGTGGGGTATAGATGCAAATAGGCAGGAGGGAACTGGATCCATGGGAACCTTAACGGATGGCCTTCCGCAGGGTCGCTAAGCCGTCCGGGTCAGACTCCGCCTCTTGAGAGCTTTTTTCATCCGAATGTTCAACCAGACGAAGATGCGCGGAGATAGGCAATTGGATCGGATCCAATTGGTAATACCCTTTGAATCCCATGAACATGCCATGAGCTTGGTATCTTGCTACTTAGTGGCTTCCCTCTCGCTTGTTACAGTTTGGAAGATCAGCCTATATGGAGCAGCAGTATTTGTATCCCTTCGTCATAAATATCTTTGTGATCGATAGAATACGCCTGTTCTTCAACATCTACTAGTATCAACCAAGCAATCACTGTGTTCACCTAACTACAGATATCTAGATAACTATCTGACCCTTCCTCAGGGTTAATACAGAGAGAAAGCAGCTGGGGACATATTTACGATTTGGTGTAGAAAATGCAACGCAGGAAACTGAAATTCAAAATTAAACTAAAGGGGCAAAACAGAGATAAGAAAAAAAAAAAGAAAAAGAACAACGGAACGGCCTCCATTTCACTCTGCTATTTGGTATATCATATACATCATATATACTACGCTATACAGACAACGAGTAAATAAGAAAGGAAGCAACGAAGGTTCAGGCTACTTCGACTTTTGACTTGCTGGGATGAACTCCAGGTCCGTAGTGACACTCCCGTATTTCGCCTTGCAAAGATCTACGACATAGCTGGTCCGGCCTTTCCATGGCCCAAAGGTGCCACATCGAGGCATACTGCGTGTCGCCTTTTTGACATAAGTCGCGTCCAGATTCCAGATCATCCGCGGCTCAATGGCAGACCCGGTCGGTACGCGGGGGATCACAGTGTTGTAGCCATTCTTCTTCATATGTTGCCAGATTCGGCACAAGATCTGGCTGGTGGTCTCGGCACCTAGTGTCCATGATGCGTTGATGTATCCCATCATGAAGGCGAGGTTAGGCACGTCCTGCAAGAGTGCTGAGTGCCAGGCATAGCGATCTGCCAGATCGACAGGCTCCTGGTCAATGTGGATTTGGATGCGTCCACCAAGGGCTAGTTTTAATCCCGTGGCCGGCACAATGATATCTGCCTCCAGCTGTCGGCCCGACTCGAGGTGGACTGTGTTTCCCGTGATGGTCTTGATCCGACCAGTTTCCACGTTCGCCTTGCCGGAGCGCAGGCTCTCGAAGAAGTCGCCATTGGGTGCAAAGCATAGCCGCTGGTCCCAGGGCTTATACTGTGGTGTGAAGTGCGGATCAACAGGGATGTGGTCGGGAAGCTGTTTCTCAACCGCTCGTTGCAGGGACTTTCGAGATCGTTCCGGGAAGAGTCGGCAACAGTGGTAGATAAAAAAAATCATCCACATAAAAATCCAGCGGTCAATTTGAAACGACCAGCTGCGTGGCAGCAGCTTGTGTCTCCACGAGACGCCGGTCGTATTGTTGAGGGACATAATATACGTAGGGCTGCGCTGCAACATCGTGACGTGCGCTGCCTTGGCCGCCATATTGGGAAGAAGGGTGATGGCCGTGGCACCGCTGCCGATGATTAAGACTCGCTTATCCGCATAGTCGAGATCCTCGGGCCAGAACTGTGGGTGTGCCACCGTGCCTGTGAAGTTGTTGGGCAGCCCTGGAATCTCGGGCTGGAGCGCTTCGGTGTAGTCATAGTATCCGGTTCCTAGAACGAGAAATCGAGCATGAAGCACGATCCGCTTGCCGCCCTTGACCTCCACGTCCAAGTCCCATTGCTGTTTGGCCGTGGACCAATTGGTCGTGACGACGCGATGTCGAAATAAAATCCGTCGATCGATGCCCTCTTTTTCAGCCGATGCGCGTAAATAATTCGCAATGGACCCCCCATCGGCAATCGCACGGTTTTCGTTCCAAGGGTTCCAGCCGAAGCCAAATGTGTGGAGGTCAGTATCCGATCGAATGCCAGGATATCGAAACAAGTCCCATGTGCCCCCAATATTCTCACGCGCCTCCAAGATTGAGTAAGTGAACTCGGGGAGCTTGCGCTGGAGATGATAGGCGACGTTGATGCCGGAAATCCCTGCGCCAACGATGATCACATCGTGGACGAGGTCAGAGGAGTGGTGGTTCATGATGTACGGTAGAACTGGGTCACGGCTGACTCAAACTTGCCGAAGAATGATGGTTAGAACTGATCCAATGTCTTATATATGACATGGCTGGCCTCACCAACGTTCAATGAAGCTTTCTCCGCACGGAGAGAGATGCGGTAGACAATCCGGGGGGATGCGGATGTGAACCCGGGCTTCACCATCCCCACATTTTTATTGATCCTTTGTGGAAACCTCCGAGGATCAGCACCGGTTATGGGTAGGCAGTATGCGTAACGCTGGCACAACTGCGGAATTGCGGAAAACCCCAGTGGCCACGGTGGACGCCATGCAGCACGGGTGGAAGCCACTGGTGTGGATGTTACCTATAAAAGATTGCCGTATCTCGAGGAATCGAGAATAGTATTGATAAGCTCGAAAAAATTACAGCAGCCTTTACTGATACATTGATATTTACCAATCTGAGTTCCCCTGAAAACATGGCTGCCACCAACAGAATCGACGTCCACCACCATTTTGTCCCGGACTTTTACCGTGAAGGTCAGCCAATGTTTTCTTCATCTTGCAGACTGTTATTGTTTCGTTGTCTAACAAGTTCCATAATCAGCCCTGGAAAGCTGTGGTGGTGATCCATCAGGGTGGTTCATCCCCGACTGGACGCCCGAGCTGGATGCGAAGGTGAACAAGCAGTTTGGCATCGGGACTAGCATACTCTCCTTGACGGCCCCGGGAGCCTGTATCCTGAAAGATCCTGGGGCCTCAGCCAAGCTGGCGCGCAGAGCCAATGAATATACTGCACAACTCCGCGACGAGAAGCCCCAGGAGTACGGTTTTTTCGCGTCGCTGCCCAGCCTCGTGGATAAGGAACGGGCGCTCAAGGAACTTGACTATGCATACGACGTGCTCAAGGCCGATGGTGTGGTACTCTTCACCCGGTATGGCGAGGATAACCACTACCTAGGTCACCCGGACTTCAAGGACATCTGGGCCGCGCTCAACCGTCGCTCAGCCGTCATCTTGGTGCACCCTACCCACCCAGTGGACATCAGCCAAGTCAGTGGCCTGGCACAGCCGGTTATCCGGTACCCATTCGAGACGACCCAGACCGCCCTCGACATGCTGTATAATAAGACAGTCCGGAACAACCCTAACTGCAAGATCATCTTGTCCCACGCGGGTGGCGTGTTGCCCTTCCTGATCGGCCGTCCCACCAGCATCCTGGCCAAGACACCAGAGGAGCAGAACGCCTTCTTGGATGATGCTCGCAACTTTTACTATGACACAGCGGTTGCTGGCTCGGAGAACGTGCTTCGTGTCATGGAGAAATTCGCCAAGCCTGGCCATCTCCTGTATGGCAGTGACACGCCGTATGCGAACAACGATATCATCAACTACCACACATCACGCCAGGACAGCTACCAGTTTGAGGATGCAACCCTCACTGATAAGATTAACCGTGGGAATGGTCTCGCCTTGTTTCCTCGACTGAAGTAGGGCAGACCACACGGAACGAAGGGTCTAGCTTGTTCGTTAGAAACCTGCCCAGCCTGAACGTGCTGCACAAAGTCATGCTAAGTCCAGTCATATCCGTTTCCCGCTATACACAAATGTTCAAGTGGCCGCTTGCAGAGTCTGTTTGATGTGCAAAAAATGGGCGGTGCGTTCTGTCGCTCTAGTCCAGATTTGATCTCTCGTTCCAATGTCAAAGCTTTCCAAACGCACAATAGAAGATTGTAATTCATAATTCCGTTATTTCGTCAGATTAGGACAATAAGGTGGTGGAGGGGTATGTCACTGGCCATGAGGGTATTATCTCATGATAGTACAAGGGTATATAACACTACAACTATGTGTAGGGGTATTCTTAGAAATCAATGGCGCTCTGGCATCGCGTCCGTTTCGAGGCCAATTTCGCCCAACCCTGAATTCCCATCATCTAGGCCCTGTACAAAAGGGAATATCGAGAGCCAATTGATTTCAACAGGATCACTTATCCAACTTGTCGTTTGATCGCCGGGCATGGCTGGTTCAAAGAAGTGTCGTGGATACTCCATCTCGTGTTGTAACAATACATTTTGGCACTGACTGGACGAGCTGTCACGAAGGTTGACAGGATGAGTATCTAAGCATGGATGGTCAATGAGTCGGTACATCTCGGGTACGGCACGTCAATGGGACCTACACTTTTGGGGAGGGAAAGGGTCCCCCCGAACGGCTTCCATGATTCGAAGACACCTTTTGGCAGACCGACTCTGTGATCGATAGGAGCGGAAGAAGCTTAAACATTTATTCCAGCCGGTAGTAAGGATATTCTCATCCTTGATGCGGCTGAGGCAGCAAAGGTGACAGATAAGAAAGACAATTGCACAGCTATGCATGTCTAGGTGAGGTGATAGGTCAGTAACCGGCATTTAATGGGTGATATGGGAGCACATACAGAAAACATTGTGCCAGAATGGAGGAAGGATATCATCGTGGATGTGTAGATTGGACGTAATTAGTTCGACGAGGTCGTTGGCCGATGACACGCACAGATTGACACCTTTATCCAGGACGTCTTGTCGCATCGCTGACTCCATCGAGGGATCTGTCTTCGATGGGGTGTCCTGGCCACTTGAATGGAAAAGCGCCGCTGACAAGACCAGACGGAACATAAACAATCGTACGTGAAGATACCTACCAATTGAGTAATATGAGTAACGCATTATCTAGCAGAAGCTGATTAAAGATCCACACAAACCTTGCATGAAGAATGACTGCCTGTCGATTGAATGTGGGAGTGCCCGGCCCGAACAGACGACGGCCCTCCAAGGCCGTGAAATTATAGTTCTGAGCTTTTAGATGAGCGGGCAACCTTTGGCACCAGGAAGTAAGGGACTTGTCGAGCCTGAGCAACACCTGTAATCCACCATCGTTGAGTTTGTCGTGGGCTGTGGATGCCGCTATGAAATTGAAACTGACGTCGAGCTTTCCACTTCCTTTATCGCTGCTTTCATAGTATAGAGCCTCAAGAATCTCACCGAGGATATTTTGCAGCTGGATGCATTGAACGTAAAATTCAGTCACGCTGGGAATATCTGCCGGCTGGGATGCTGTCATACCAGGAGCCTGGGATAGAAGGCTATCATCGATGGCAGACGGGGGAACGCAGCGTTGGGATATGGCGGGATGGATCATCAATGGCCGCCCAAATGTCATGGAGCAGACCCTGGGGAATGTTAGACCAAGTATCCTGAACCGTCTTCATGAAAAAAATGACTTACCGGTCCAAGAGGATGCAGCCGGTCCAGGCTCGTCGGCGCATCTCGATCTCCAGCTGGCTTAGCTTCGTCTTTGAACAACACCCCTGCTCACAATATTCGGGTTCGTGATGAAGACCTATACCTTGCGAAGTGCGAATCGCCAAGCCGACCATGGTCCAGCATGCGTTGGCCATCTCAGTGCTCTGAAGATACTGGCCCATGAGTATTAGCATCTGCACGAGGAAGATGTTGCCCTGGACGAGGAGATCAAAGTCCATCAACGCTTTAGCGCGCTCAAAGAATGTCAACCCCAGCTGACTTCGATCACCGTCCTCCATGGTTGGGCCGAACTGAGATCCCAAGGCAAAAGCCAAATTGAGTAGGCAATGGAACAACCTCTCATCTATATTCCAGTAGTAACTTTGGCTTGGCGGAGACTTCGAGGCTTTGGAGGCAAGACGGTCTGGTGCCGCCGACCACAGAGTCAGATATTTCTGGGTGAACGATGGGCGGTGTAGATATGGATACAGGGAATGAACATAGGTCCAGTACCTATCGAGTAGGGTGTCGGCCTTATGTCGTGGTGGGATGCTAAATTGGTATTCCCCGCGCCTGATACTAGAATTGGACTTGATGCGTACTGAGGACAGCGAGCGCCCTCCTCCCCCAATTCCTTCCTGCTGTAAAATTCCAGGTAGCCCACTCCTCGATGGACATGCGTCTGGGCCGCTCTCATTCTGACTCATGGCCCGACGAGCATGGCTGAGAAATCTGACGGTGCTTGTGGAGCCGAAAAAGCTGGATCCCTGGCGCCCTCGATCGTCAAAGGACCCAAAGACACCCATGGCATCAATGGCAGAGTCATCGTCAGAGTCATCGTCCTCTACGAGAGAACCCCTGTCCAGCATCCCTGACTGCACGGCGTCCGCGAGTCCTCCAGCGGTCGAGTAGGAAGAAAGCTCATCGCTGGCTGAAGCCGGCATGGCCGCCTCTGGTATTCCAACCATCTCCGGTGATGTCATAGATTGCTGAGGTGTCCGGAGTCCAAGCCCATCTGTCTCATCTGCAAGGAGTTGCCGAGGCGAGAGTCCGGGTGGGGCAGCAGCCTCGCCCTGGCCAGCCTGCCGAGCTGATGGATGGCCAACCCGTAAGGCATTGGCCATTGCTTGTCCTTCTTCTAATTCTTGGATTCGGCCTCTTAGGGACTCGACGTAACTAGACGGGTATGTGAGTGACAAACGAACTCGACTCTAGGGATGGTCATACCTGTGGTTCCATCCTTTCGCGTTTCGTCCTGCATCCCAGACGCACCGTGGAGAAGGCCTTTTGACGCACGCGCCACAGACGGGCTTCACCCCGTCACACTTTCTCTTTCGCTCGCGACACTCATTGCAAGCGACGGCGATTCGACGTCGTTTGCGGTCACCGGCGGACTCTGTGGGAGACATTTGCCTGTGTTTGTAGCCATAAAAACAGAAATTATTGCTGGAGACGGAGTCGTGACCATGTATCGGGTACGCATCCTAGGGAAGTCCATAAATAACATAACATAAGAGGGGCCCGGAACCTTCTTGGGAGAAAATCCAATAGATCGGCTTGCCCGGCTCAGTGGCAAGATTCCCCACCCGGGGTAGCTCCCCGCATTCGGAAAGAAGGAGGGAGTTGAATCAAATACACGGCGCAGTATTCGCTGTGGATCAGCACAGAAACGTAGACGAAATCGCAAGGCGGTCGATAGCGTCACCGAAAACTGGAAGGACTTGGCTGTCGCTCCTTATGGAAAAGCTTGGATTCATCCCTGACTAAACCAAACCAGCTGACCGTCGGCCGGATCAACCAGTCAGCCGGCATGCCCTTGCTTTACATATTATATATTAGTCAACAGTTCATAGTTGTTTGTTAACTATTCTATGGAACTACAGGAAAGTCTTAAGTGAATGATCTTGGAATATCCATATCAACGCCCATATAGAATAGACATGCGTATTATATCGTGTAAATCAGCAGAATTGCCCGATATAGTTCCTAACGGATACATGGGACATATACAGACTCGACTTTACTATTTTGGTGGAGTGGCCGTCATCACTAGCCATCCTCCTCGTACACAACAAAGTTTTTATTGGATTGTACTGCTGCATGCACTTGAAGTTCGCAGCATCTCATAATAATGAAGAATCAGGGTCCCCAAATAAGTGTCGCCAGCACGGGATACAGATCCAGTATCCGTGCCGGCTCAAGTCCATGGTATATTCAAATAAACCAAGGCGGATGGGTAAAGCAATGACTGACTTAAACCAGCACGAGGCATCGGGCATGAAAGGGGGTCACTTCAGCCGGAGTTGAGCATGTAATCCTCCATCCACCGACAGGTTAACCCCCGTGATACCCTTAGAGTATTGGCTCGCCAGGAAGACCGCCGCATCTGCGATCTCTTCCGCATCTCCGATTCGTTGGAGCGGATGGCATTCTTTCAATGTATTCTCAAATTCGCTATTCTCGGTCATCGTGGCGATCATGGGCGTTCGCGTAACTGGATATCCACCAAGATCTCGTCAGTCGGCCGTCAATGCAGGCATGGAAATGGACAGGATGGGGAACCATACACCCCGGTAAGATGGCATTGCAGTGAATTCCGTGAGCTGCGTAATCCATAGCGACAGCGCGCGTTAGGGCAATCACCGCACCCTTTGAAGCTGCATATGCCGGCGTCCCTGAAAGGCCGAGCAGGCCCAGGACCGATGATACATTGATGATAGCGCCTGCTCTGTGATGACTCGCAATCCTCGGCTGCCGAAGCATCTGCGCTCCAGCATATTTGCACCCTAAAAATGTTCCTCGCACATTGACCTGCCATGTCAGATCGAAGACCTCTTCAGTCGTGTTATTGACGGGACATGGGTTTGATGCTTCCGGAGCAACGCCTGCGTTGTTCACCATTCTGCCGCCCCGTCAGCAAAGTATCACTGAACGAAACCGCGGAGCATACACATCGACACGACTGAACTTATCAGCCACAGTTTGGACTAAGTCCTTCACATTGCTGGCATTTGTGACATCGGTTGGGACAAAGATACTCTGTCCCGCGCCAGCCTGGATGAGTTCGTGCGTTGGTTGTTGTGACACCTTGCTCGAGGCATTGCGATCTGCACAGACGACCGTCGCCCCATGTTTATGGAATGCTAGTGCAATTGCGCGACCCAGACCAGAGGAGGCCCCAGTCACGATGGAAACCTTGCCAGCGAGTAATCCTGGAACACCAGCCATCTTGATGTGAGCAAAGGGATTAGATGAATAAAACGTCACAAATTTCAATTCTCAGTTGAGTCTGAATTTTCAACCGATACAGATTCATTACATCCTGTAAATCAACCTTCTCGGTGTATATTTTTCCCAGGCAAACATATATCAACTTCTATGCAAAACGGCGGAAACACACCCGCATCGGCAGGCGGATCCACATCCGCATGTGTCGTCATGGCACATACGATGGCCGCCATTCACGTCGCTTGGAAGTAGCCTACCAGCATTGATTCGACTGACGATCATGATTTAAGTTTCTACAAATGTATCACTCCTATTTGCGCCCTTACCTGGTTCGGCCGAAGGGATAGCTTGCGTCAAATCTCCTTATAGAACAATCCGTGTCAATCAACTCATTCAAGCGTTCCACATTTTACGCGGCTAGATATCCTCACTAGTATTTTCAGTAAAACATCACATCTTCAATAACGTAAGTCACTGCATGGGCTCTACATCCAGCCAATTCCTCTGAAGCCCCAGCACATTTCTAGCTTCGCTGAATATGCCGTGCCCGATCGGATGTCGTTCCAGCTGCGGATCTCGTGCCGACTCCACCACTTTGTTCATGTTCACGGGGCAGTATTGTAGATCAGATTCCAGATGAAGGTTCGGTCTGTATAACAGGTGGCTCGTGGTACCGCCAGTTCCACGAGGTTCACATTCTCCAGTGGTTCCTCAATTCAGGTTTCGTGATCGGTATTAAATGCCTCTTACAACATCTGCCATGAAAGCTGCCGGTCCAACCAGCCACAAGGCGTCAGTGCTTCCATTATGGCTAGATGGTCTAGAGATCTGCACACCGTCGACTTTCAATGTGATTTCTCCAGTAACCCATGAGGTTCTATACCAGTGTTCTACTGCGTCCGAGGCGGACGTCTCCGTCGCGGTCGAGAGTGCCAACAGGGCTTTCCAAACCTGGTCTTGCACAAAGCCACAAGAGAAGCGAGATATCTTCCTCCGTGCGGCGGAGATCTTCGCGCGCCGAAAGGATGAGCTTTTCGAATATGTCAGCCAGGAGACGGGTGAAGGGCAGATGTTCTTCGACATTGAGTGGGACCTGATCCAACAGATGTGCAAGGACATCGCAGGTCTCATTCAAACCATCCAAGGGGATCACCCCACAGTTGCGGCACCGGGACACAGTGCCTTAGTGGTACGGGAACCGTACGGCGTTGTGGCCGCTATTGCACCCTGGAATGCGCCTTATATTCTTGGTCTTAGGTCATGCCTCCTGCCACTGGCAGCCGGTAACACAGTCGTGCTTAAGGGACCAGAGACTGCACCCAAGTCATTCTGGGCAATCACCGATACGCTGTACCGGGCGGGACTGCCGCCAGGCTGCCTGAACACTCTATACCACCGGCAAAGCGACGCGGCACCGATCACGACTGCACTCATTTCCCATCCGTTGGTCCAGAAGATCAACTTCACAGGCTCCACCGCGGTGGGTTCCATCATTGCTTCCACCGCCGGGAAATATTTGAAGCCCGTTCTATTGGAACTGGGCGGGAAAGCTTCGGCAATTGTGTGTGAGGATGCTGATCTCCAATTGGCGGCGGCGGATTGTGCGTTGGGCTCTTTCCTCAACTCAGGGCAAATCTGCATGTCTACTGAACGGATTCTGGTCCATGAGAAAGTGGCCACGCGGTTTACCGAAGTACTCAAGGCGGTAGCGTCAAGCTTGTTTCACGACCAGACGGCGCAGATGGTCAACACGGCGTCTCTCAACAAGAGCAACAGGTTAATCCAGGATGCGATATCCAAAGGTTCGAGGGCCTCGAGAAATGATGCTGTCATACCCGATGGGGCAAGCAAAATGCACTTGACTCTGCTGGAAAATGTGGATCCGTCGATGGATATATATCGTAGTGAATCGTTCGGCCCCTCGGTAAGTCTCATCACCGTCACTAGCGACGACGAGGCCATCCAGATCGCCAACGATACGGAGTACGGGTTGACCTCTGCGGTATTTACCGAAGACTTGCGAAGAGGCTTCAGGATTGCCAAACAAATCCAGAGTGGCGCGGTGCACATTAATAGCATGACTGTGCACGACGAGACTGCCTTACCACATGGTGGGATGAAAAGGAGTGGCTTCGGGAGATTTAATTCGCGCGAGGGCTTGAATGAATGGGTACGGACTAAGTCTGTAACATGGAAGGACTGACATTAATCTCTCCTTCCCTTCCCTTTCCTTTTCTTTTCATTTCTTTTTCTTTTGGTCCGTGTTTTTGAAAGTGTGTCATCCTATGTATTCACAAACCTTCTGCCACCTCCAAAGGTTTGATATGTATATTTTGAGCAGGTAGCATTCAACACACTAGTCATATAGTATCCCCCTTTCACCTTTTCGTAATTCGTCTGGATCACGGTCTATGTCAGTTTCCATGATAGTACTAGCTAGTTACATCTACTTGATACAACGCGTTCGCATTATCGTGTTCCTCATACTATGCTGTACACATAAATTCCTTTGGCTCATTCTGTCCGCATGGATATAACGAATACAGCGCCAGCATACCAAACATTATACCTGCAGTGCTATTGAATACAAAGTAGCCACCGCCATCCGGGGAAAGTTTGCGACCCAACAGCATGCGGAATGGCATCCGACGATAAGGTAATCGGAAGGAAGCACATCCGCAAGCACCACGGAGACTGAGTGTCAGAAGGTCGAAAATACTTCTGCGAAAATATCTGTAAGCCTTCTACCGAAAGGTCGAGAACCATGTGGATTGTACCATGTTACTATAGAATCTAATGTCATTGACGGTATGAGGGTTGGGTTCCTGCCTAGTTGAACTCGAGAAAACGAGGCGGATGATAGTCCCGGTAGAGACGAAGTGGATTTGTTTCTAATCCATGGCAGCTGTATATATACTCCCGAGCCCTGCCATAAGATAGTATGCGAAATGGAATGTTTGGTCTAGCAATACAGCAACATGACAACCGCTTCACTCTCCCCTCAGGCGATTGCGAACCTTCGCACCATCATAGACGATGCCTGTGCAGATGAAAATGCTGGCCTCCCTTGCGCCAATGTCGTGATTGTCGGCAAAGGCGATAGTTCTCCATGTGAGCTTTTCAGCCACTCTACTCGGAAGGGGGGCGGGCATAAGAATGGTACAGAAGACCGGCAGATCCGCGACGGCGAAGATGACATATACTGGTTAGCTTCGTGTACCAAATTGGTAACCGGCATTGCATGCATGCAGCTTGTTGAGAGGGGTGTGCTTGGGCTCGATTGTGCCGACCAAGTCGAAAGCCTATGCCCAGAGTTAAAAGAAGTCTGTGTCCTTCAAGAAAATGGGTCCAAGGTGGAGAAAAACAGAGGAATCACATTGAGAATGCTGTTGACGCATACTGGTAAGCACTATTCATATAAAGCCGTTTCCTGATATGATTTGAAGTCCTTCCAAGTATCCCGTCCATGGATAGATATACCATCTCTAACTGTACGGTGATGCGAAAGCTGGGTTCGGATATTCGTTCCTGAATCAAAAACTGCAGTCATACTTTCTGGAACATTGCAGCTATATACCTGAGTACAATGAGTTCTCAGGATACGTGCAAGACTTCTACCAGCCGCTAGTCAACCAACCAGGAGAGCGATTTGAATATGGTGTACGTTCAATACCCTTGTTCAGGCAATGATAGAGTTACAATACTAAGACCAGTAAGATCAGTATTGACTGGGCTGGTATACTCGTTGAACGTGCCACGGGGATGAGGCTTAACGACTACATGCAACAATCCATCTTCGCGCCCCTCGGAGTCCACGACGTTTCCATGATTCCTTCCACACATATGAAAGAGCGACTAGTAGGTTTGTGGCATCGCAGCGCAGGGGGCCGGCTTGTTCCTCGAGATTACCCTCTAAACAAGCCGTTGGACGCAAAAGAAGCTGCAGAGGTATTCCACAGCGGCGGTGCGGGCTTGTTTGGAAGCATCCGAGAGTTCAGCAGTAGGTTTTTCATCCCCCCTTCGTAGCCTGCGAAATTCCCCCAAAGACATTTCCCTAACACTTATTCTGGCAGAGATTCTAGCTACTCTCCTTAACGATGGCCGTTCACCTCAGACAGGCCAGCAAATTCTCTCTCCAGGAACGGTAGAAGAGATGTTTTCGAATCAAATTCATCAACACCCAGACTTCGCTCGACGGCCTTTACCTGCCATAAAACCCGATCTGGTTTCTCCCTGCGAGGAGCTGTATCCCCTCTGTCCGAGTCCTACACCACAGGGATGGGGTCTTACATTCATGATCTCGCCCGGCGTGACCGGTCGCTCGGATACAACAGCTCACTGGTCAGGGCTTTCCAATATCTTCTGGTGGTGTGATCGAGAAAGAGGTGTTGCTGGGGTAGTTGCATCACAGGTCCTTCCATTCGTCGACCCAGAAACTGGTCTCCTATGGGCGAGTGTAGAGGCCGCAGTGTATGAAGGTCTGCAGGGAGAATAGTGGATCCTTCAATGCACCAGTGATCATACTGTACACACCTGCTACTCATGGCAAGAAGGAAAACGAGCCGTATGTACTGTCAGGCTGTATTCATTCAGCGTTGTTCAGATTCTTGATTCAGGTGGTATGTGAACACTCAATATAGTCAACACCTGATCAACCAGCTCGTTGCCGCATCTCTATAATTCTGGGACTTTTCGATTACCAGTATGATTGGCTTAACAATATTAACAATCTAGTATCCAAACTCAAACTAGAATATATCTGCTAGATATCCCTTGTAGCATAGAAACCGGGTAAGAAACGTCTACGTAGCACATTTCCGTGAGGTGTTAAAACAACTCACCTATCGCTTTGTAGAAAGGGGAGGTCTGTAAAGCTTGATTGTTCTTCTGAGGCTGGATATATCTACAAGCTTGCCAGAGACCAGAGCCTAGCCACGGATCCCTATGCGCAGAGTAGTATCAACATTCCAGATGCCGCTTTCGTGCATGCCATGTTTATCACAACCTATATGAACGGCTCGAAACCACCTACTCATCATAATTGGATCATCCTACTTTGCACAGTGAGACATGATTCACTTTTCACAATTTGCACACTGCTCTGTATGATACCTGAGAAAGGCTTAGGCATAGTTCATACTAAACAATGCGGTAGGGTTTGTACATAGCCAGAAAACAGTAATGTGCCATTCACACAAGCGATTTTCATGGAGGCAGATATGCTAGAGTGTTGCGTTCGCGCCGCATGGTGAGTTGCCCCCCTCCATCGTTGATGGCAGACCGATGAAGGAGGAGAATAATAGCAAAGGAAACACTGCTGCTGTATGAGTCTGCAAACCATGCGTTGTGGAAGCCCTTGGGATTTGCTTCGCAGCCCACTGCGGCTCCGGTTCCGCTTCGGCTCTGGTTCCGGTCGGGGAGGAATCCATATCCGAGGTTGTCAATAAACGTGGCGAACACAAAATGAAACAGAGAGTATGTTTAGGATTCATATTTCCAGATTAACCTTTCCATAATTACTTTCACTAATACTGCCTTGAGCTTTGACACCAGTTAATCGAACAAATCCACCATGAGTTCCTTGAAAGCCCCCATCACCACGAAGGCGTATGTGGTCGAGAAAAAAGGCGCCCCTTTTGTTCTTTGTGATATCATTCTGGACCAAGTACAATCATCGGAGGTGCTAGTAGAGATCAAATACACAGGATTATGTCATACGGTTCGTGTCACTCTGCCTTAACCAAACTTAGTATTGTGTCTTATGGTCTTCCAGGATGTTGTTGTCCAACAAGGAGGGATGCCTATCGGCCAGTATCCTGTTGTTCTTGGTCACGAGGGTGTTGGAATCGTCCGCCAAGTAGGTTCAGAAGTGGCAGATAAGTCATTAAAAGAAGGGGATACGGTACTCCTATCATTCCATGCCTGTGGCCGGTGCAATGCATGTCTCGATGGCCGCTGCGGAAGCTGCCCCCACATGACAGAGACCAATTTTCTTTCCAGTGCACGTTCAGACAAATCATCCCCAATTGCCTTACCTGATGGCACGCCAGTGCATGGGCAATTCTTTGGACAGTCCTCTCTTAGTAAAATGGCCATCGTCACGGAAAAGTCCGTGGTGAAGATTTCCGCACAGGCGTCGGACCTCCAGTTCCTTGCGCCGTTTTCTTGTGGATATCTGACAGGGGCTGGAACAGTACTGAATGCGCTTTGCCCAAATAGTGACTCTAAGATTGCTATCATTGGAATGGGAGGTGTTGGACTCGCTGCAATGCTAGCAGCTAGAGCTATAGGCGTTCAGCATGTTGTTGCTGTGGATATGCTCGACGCAAAGCTTGAAATGGCAGCCTCGCTCGGCGCTACGCACACTGTCAATACCAAAGAGGTCAAGAACCTTGCAACTGGTATACATGATATATTTCCTGATGGTGTGGACTATATTCTGGATACTACTGGTGTGGCATCTCTTTTACAGGACTCGCTTGCAGCCCTAGCTCATGAGGGCACTCTGGCTCTTGTTGGTGTGCCATCACCTGCAGCCAATATTCAAGTCAATGCGCTGGACCTGCTGCTCTCTTGTAAGAAGATAATCGGTGTAATTGAAGGAAGGGCTGATCCAAAGACCGTAAGTATCTTCTTCCTTTTTTTTTCTTTTTTTTTTTTTTTTTTTTTTTTTTTTTTTTTTTTTTTTTTTTTTTTGTTCTGCTTATATTCTGTGAAACACACTGGACTAACGAAGTATCCCAGTTAATACCTCGGCTGGTGCAATTGTTTAATGAAGGGAAATTTCCTGTTAATCGATTTACAAAGTGCTATCCGGCTGGATGTCTGACCGAAGCATTGGAAGATTTGAAATCAGGATCAGTAGGTTTCCTTTCTCTTTCCATCAGAAGGAGTCGGGTTGCGAAATTATCCCCTCCCTTGCATAAAATAAAACTAACATGTTCAATCACAGGCCGTGAAAGCAGTCCTATCGTGGGACGATATATAGCTTTTGTAGAGGGGATATTTGCCGCTTTTAGCGTACTGTTATTGATGCAGTCGTTCGTTTTAGCCTGTGCAACTTCCCACAGATAGATGCTGAACTTGACTTCGGAACTTCCAGTATAGTTTCGGCATCGAAATAAAATATGCATGAAGAGCTTGACATCTGACAGCTGCCCGTCGCATTCATTATACTTCCTGCATTCCCTAGATAGCGGATCTATCGTTGGGTAGGGAATTCTTTACTATAAACCAAACATAGCATGGAGCTAGGGCTATCATTGGGTTGGCTACTAAATCATACTCTCCGGAGAGAGCACGACAATTCTGTATCTTAAGTAGTGTACCCTTCCAGAATTATCACCTTTCCGGAGTGAGACTGATATGGGGTGCAACTGGAGGTGACAGAGTTATGTATTATAGATGTTGTTGTTTTAAAGGATGGTAAGACTGGTTTTTCTTATTTACAATCGTTTATTTAACAGAGACAAAGGACTAGATGAAAGCTAGATCGCTGACAATATTACGAGTAAAACTAGGGATATCTATCATTCAAAGTTTCTACCCACTTTCACTCTTTGAATACTGCTTGCTAAAGCTACTATAGACTCTGAGCTTTTAAATGTTCCAGCATAGGCAGAAAGCTATTTTCTTTGATAGGAAAAGAGCAGCTTGAGCCCAAGAGCAGCAAGACGTCCAAGGCTAGCCTGACGTAAGACAGTCATACTACTAATATTATATTTCCTTTTTAGGTCAATAATTTTTCTTTTATCTACCCAGTATATTCGCGTAAAACAGACACAAAGATAAGCAATGAACCGAGTGATGGCAGGGAGACAAAGAGCCACAAAGTTAAAATACGAGGGGAGGATAGTATATCTTACTCTGCTTTGCCACATCCCAGCTTTTACCCGGGGGGGGACATTTCAAACCAAATATGGCTACAATATCCCACAACATGGCTCACTCACTCCCCACTTCCATGAAAGCATGGACGTTCACTCGTGCAGGCTCCGCTGAACGAGTCCTCCAATTATCCCAACAGCACCCCATTCCCACCCTAGGCACCAGCACTGATGTACTCATCCGCATAACCCATGTGGCCCTGCACCCCGGCACAACCATAATGATGAACCTTATCCCATGTATCTTTCGAACAACGCCCTGCATTGCAGAAACAGACTTCTCGGGAGTGATCATCGAAACGGGCAAGGAGGTCCCAGTTACCCCCAGCCCAGACAATGCGCACCGGTACTTCCCGCCCGGGACGCCTGTATTCGGGTCCATTCCCGTCGGGCAACATCTGAAAGGTGCCGGAGCCTTGGCAGAGTATCTCGTTGTGGATGTGAATTGCATCGCTCGCAAACCAGCCAATATCTCATTCGCGCAGGCGGCGGGTTTACCCGTCTCGGGTACAACTGCTCTCACACTTATGGATGCTGCGGATATCCGACCCAGTGATCGGGTACTCGTTAATGCTCCCAGTGGGGGGATCGGACACCTCGTCACGCAACTTGTGTCTCAGATTGTCGCCGACGAGGGGCGTGTTGTAGGTAGGTGCTCTGCTGCTTCTTTTGACGTGGCGAAAACGCTCGGTTGCGATGATGTTGTGGTATACGACACTTCGGGTGACTCATCTACCACTACGGCCAGGGAGGTATATGGGGATGAACCATTCGACAAGGTCATCGATGCCCGTGGATCTCAGGATCTGTGGCATTCCTCGCCTGCAATTCTGAAACCTGGAGTGGACCACACGTATACATCGGTTGGACCGGTGCTGGAATCTTATACTTACTTGGGCATGTTTGCATGTCTGCTGAAAATGGGGTTGAATAATTTCCTGCCTGTTTGGGCGGGCGGGGTAGACCGGCAGTATAGACAGGTTACAGCTGTGGTTAGTACGGACAAGCTTGAGAGGCTAAGAAAGCTATGTGAGGCCGGTCAATTGGGTGTTTTGATAGGAGATACATGGTCATTCGAGGATGCTGTTCAGGTAGGTTATGGCCTTTATTAAATGCATCGATGCACTAATGTGAAGAACAGGCATTCCACGTTATGGCTGGCAAGCATGCAAGGGGAAAACTGGTAATATGTGTTGCGGATCCGAACGGACATGCTGAGGAGTAATACTTTTAGAGAATGTCTAATATTCTTACTACCTATATATACATGCATGTTCATTCAGTAGTATTCTGTAGAGATAACGGCTTTCTGGGACTATTCTACTACTGATTCTAGCGTATTACAAGAGCTTGTTTTTGGTGGTAGAAGGATTTATACAGCCCCGACTATATTGCAATCTAGTTTCAACCATCAATCTTTGATAGGCGCATGGACCGGTACAGGGGCCTGGAGAGCTGCCCATAACTGGTCTTCAAGATTGTCGACAGAGCTCGATAAATTTCGTGGGTAAAATGTGTTTCTAAATAGCCATTCATAGCGGTGTGTGACTCGCTTGGCTTTGATGAGCTGTGTCTCGGCCATATAATCCTCAAGTATCTAAGCACGCATCCCATATGCGTATGTCAGGACGACACTGACAGGATGTAAGATGCGTGCGGAATGTGGGAATCGACTGTATTAAATTAGCAGAGGCCTACGACGCACAAGACCAAGTTATAACCCACCTATAAGTATTATATGTAAATGTCAGTCTGGTTTATATTCAAGATAAAGAATCAAATAACTATAATAAGGTTAAGCTTTTATGCGGCGTCAAAGAACGCGACACTAGAACATTCATGTCCTTCAAAAAAGACAAGATCTATCAAAAAACTACGTATCATCCTGAAATATTTGAAAATTTGGCCAATCCTTTCTGGGCATACCACTACAATAGCTTTTTGTTTTGTTGTCTGATACAACTTAGTAGTTACAATGTTTTATCTTTGATTATCTAATAGTCCCAGCATCACCTGGCCCCCTTGTTCACTCACCACTTCAACCCACTTCGCTTCTCAACATTATGGCTAATCAAACTCGAATTCTGTCCTTTCAGTTTCAAAAACTAACATCCTATGTACCTCGGCCATCTGGTCGACAAGCTCAGATTTCCAACATACAACCTCACAGGCGTCTAGCCACACGTTTGGAGCCCAGCACAGTCAAGTACAAATATGTGGAAGAGGTTGAGCGCTTGGACTACTATGTTCCCGGAGGTTACCATCCTGTTATGCTTGGGGATCAACTCAGTGCGGGTCGCTATGTCATCGCACACAAGCTTGAATTTGGCCGCTCCGCTACGACCTGGCTAGCAGAAGATAGACGGCAAAATCGACTCGTTGCCCTGAAGATTTCGACCGCTGAATCAGTGAATCGGATGCACGAGATGCAAATACTTTCGCAGCTAGAAAAGGCCAAATCCGACCTTTCGGGGAAAGCAATTGTGCAGAACATACTCGATTCCTTCACATTTTCCGGGCCAAATGGTGACCATCGGTGTTTGGTGACGGATGCTGCGAGAATCAGTCTTCATGAAGCGAAGGATGCTGCATATCATCGACTTCTCCATCTACCCGCCGATCGAGCCATTGCCGCACAACTTATACTCGGCTTACAGTTTATCCATTCGGAAGGCATCGTTCATGGCGGTACGTTTTATCATACTGAGATTCCTCGTCTCGGTACTTAATTTAGGGAGTGTGAGTCAATCTAACCCCGGGTACAGACCTTCATCTTGGAAATATCCTTCTCCGCTTGCCGCTTGACATGCAAGACATGACTTCCGAGAAGCTGTATGCGAGTACGGGCGAGCCCGCAAAAGAGCAAGTTATCCGCGAAGACGGTGCTCCCCTTGATCCTGGCGTTCCGTCAGAAGCGATTGTCCCGGTTTGGCTTGGGCTTGGTAGTGATGAGATATCACTTGTGGATTCCGAGATCATGATTGCAGATTTTGGAGAAGCGTTCGATCCTCAAGTGACGCGGCAGTTCGCAGCTCATACACCGCTCCTCCTCGCACCACCGGAATCTCGCTTCGCTGGGCTTGGGGAACCAGACGACCCACTTTCCTTTTCTGGGGATATATGGACACTTGCTTGCACTGTCTGGGATATTTGCGGAGACAGGCCCCCTTTTGAAGCCTTCCCTGCCACATTGGATGATGTTACGATCGAGCATGTGGAGATGCTTGGTAAACTCCCTGAAAGGTGGTGGAGCAAGTGGGAGGAAAGACGTAACTGGTTTAATGAGGATGGATGCAAGGATGTGAAAGAAAGTCTCCGTCAGTGGTATAGCAGCAGCGCCAGGGATTGGAACCAGCGGTTTACAGACTCTGTACAGGATCCAAGGGAGGGAAATAAATTTGACACCTTCTCGGAGGAGGAAAGAGATGCGTTTCAAGACATGATAAAGTCGATGTTGGTTCTGGAACCAAGCAAGAGAGCGACGATTGAGGAAGTAGTGGGTTGCGAGTGGATGCAGAGATGGGGCCTGCCAGAGGTGCAGAAAATGCAGCATGCAGTATTGAAGACCTCTTGAGCAAGTCAGTACTTGGGGGTCTTGGGGTTACAAGTTTGACACAAGTGGCGATTATATAGCCGTTACAAGTCTATCTCGCGGTGGATGGTTTCTGAAACATGGCTTGTTCTCACATACCAAGACTGCTCTGAGATGGTAGAGTGGTTCCATTCACAGAGAAGCGAAAATGGCGCATCCATGGTGGTAGTACACAACCCCTCGGGACAGCAACGTGGTTGTCAAACTTGCCACATGTAACAGGTATCACAGCATTAGTCAATATAGAAACTACAGTCATATCATTCAGACACATAGCCTAAATTCACCACTGAGGTCATATCAAGAGTTTATATAGGAGCGGCGGTTGGGCCATATTATGATCTTAATATTTGGGATTTGTATTCCAAGGCGAAATGGCTGAGAGGCAATTCCACTCCTCCTTGGTTGGCACCCAGACATTCAATTGTCTAAAGTCTGGGTTTTTGAAAACCATGGAGGCACCATTTTTCGCGTATGCCAATGACTCTTCGAAGGAATCTGTTGCATAGATGCCCGGGCCAAACTCATTGTCCCCGTTCGCTGTACTTATCACCGGAATTAAAAACACCACTGAAAGTTCTAGTGCCCTAAGACTAACGCCACGAAACCAATGTTTTTGGTCGTCAATATGAAGAGTATCCCCTAGATCCTTCCTAATCGCTCTCATGGTAACATCCTCGTTTTTGTGAGCTTTCACAACAATTGACAGAATAGTCTCTGGAATAGCGTGAGTTCGGCACCGCCGATACAACGAAGGCATTTGCCCATTTGCTGCACGTATCTCTTCCCTGGTTGTCTTGGGGTTTGCATTAATCTCAACGGATGTAGCAGATCATGATGTATGATAAACGATAATAGGAAGTTCGCTGTTATGATTTTCGGGCTTATAAACTCGATCCACCTGGCCCAGGTAGACTGGAGAAAGTCTCGTAATGCTTCATAATGGGCATAGTGAGTGGCCTCGTTCTCCTCAAAAATTCGGAGCACAACTTGAAGCCTTCCACAGTATCGATAGATCACACTCTTGATAACAGTTCTGAGTTGCATAAACCAGTCTACGGCGTCCTTGGCGTCGTTCCACTCCGGTGCAGAAAGGGTTCCTGGGATCGGTGATGGGGTTTCTGATTTTCCTGGCTCCATATTGAAGGGCGCAGTTCTTAACTGGGAGAAGAAAATTACTTCTGGCGGACTAAATGACGCAGGCGTGTCATCAGGAATCTGGGTATTACCTAGACGTAACCACAGGACCTAAAATGCCCCCAGCAGTGCGTGGATTGTATGTAGATACTTTGAGTATCAAATAGAATGTAGGTTAAGTATAAAGGAGAGGAATGCTGTGAAATGGTACTGAAGGAAAGAGGAATATACTACCAGAGTACTAGTAGTAGGTGAAGGTGACCCGCAGATGAGGCTGACAAGAAGTGAAGGGCAAAATCACATTCGATGGTGTGAATGTTGGACCATGGGGCTATCATGTGACCCTCACCAGTAAAGGGTAACATTCACGGTCCATCCTTCTAGAGCAGTGTCTTAGAGTGAAATGTCTTGAACCTGAGGAAACATATCTAATCCGCATATCTCTTTCATCAGTGCCACTTTATCAGTCCGAGACAACACCTCCCTTGGATCAAAGGGCTAATTGCTGATGTCTATCAACCTGCCCTTGTTGTCGGCATGTTTACCGCTGCAATTGTCGACAACGCTACCAAGTATCGCCCTGACAGTGGTTCATATTGCATCCCCATCGTGGTTCAGTTTGCATGGTCTTTAATCGTGGTTGTTACAGCTCCATTTCTTCTCGAGTCTGCTTGATCCTTGATCAAGCGAGGACTCCTCGAAGAAGCAGCGAAGTCCTTCGCCCAACTATGAAGGCTAGATATCAACAACAGGTCTCCCAGAGACGAGCTTACTATACTCCAGCAAAAGAAAGAATCTCGTAGTGTGACCGGTTGGCTGGACAGCTGGCATGACGGATATGATGAGAGCGGAATAGTGCTAGGTTCTTAGAAAAACCGCGATGTAGTCAAGGGACTTGGACCAGTTGGAAGCCCTGTTGTTGATGGCCAGTTGAAACGGATTTTCATTTGGCAGAGGAATACAGGCTGTCCTCAATTCTCCTGTGTCAAGGTATGATACGATGAAGGGGATCCTACACACTAGTACTACACGCGTAGTTGTAATTGCTGGAAGCCCAGAAAGTATCATTACATAACTAAGTGCTTATATATATTATTGTATGCACATGTTCATAAAACCACTCAGTTTATAAAAATATATAGCAAGGATAATTTAAAATGGTAAAACTATTTGTAGAGAGTGTTTCAAACGACATATATTTAGTTGAAGAGTAAACCCGTGAATCATACCACTAACATACAGAACATCGAGCTATTGGGAATCGATTCAAGACATCACAGTAAGATCTTGTGCACAGAGACCTATGTGCCTGAGCTATATAATCCCATACTTCGAATAAACTAGTACATACGACCATAGGGTGTGGAGAACAGGGCTTCCCGTCCGCTCAGCCGTACTTAAGCCACACGCCGGGAGGTTAGTAGTTGGGTGGGTGACCACCAGCGAATCCCTCCTGTTGTATGTTTTTGCGTTTTTATTTTTTCTGTTCTTTCTTCCCCACACCCTCTCGTATTGCTAGTGCACTATCGCTCAATCAAGAACAATGTTATTGGATAGGATAAATATGGGTCCATCTTTCAACCTCCCGAAATTACGTTGCTTTCTTGGTCCATCCACCCAGTCTGTGTATCCAATTTACCGGCCCCTGGCACGGGTTCCCTTTCTTGGGTTAGTTATATTACCAGGAACTCAGTGTGTCTATCTTGTGGAATCTTTGGAAGTTTGGAGGAAACCCTGTGCCTCGAACTTATTCTCTATCAGTCTGGTAAACCTTCTACGGATACGTATCAGTTTACCTATTCGAGGCTATTTGTCCCGTCGAGGTGAAATCTTAAATTATGATATCGCCACTGGCTGGGACCCTTTGGCGTTTTCAGATAGCACGGAGTAACTCTTTATTTTACGCTAGCATTGGAACTTTGGATCGTTCGGCTCTCAGACACGATAAGCGGCTTGGCCACGGGGCAATCAACGGCTTTGACTGGCCCGCCTACGGCTGGCGTTTCTTGTTGCGCTCACAGATCCCTGGATAATGGTAGGGGTGTGACCAGTTACTGGAATTGTGAATAATGGGGCATAAGCCAGGATGGAAATGTAACATGCAGGGTGTGAGAGGGAAGGCCGTCGAGTGGTAGGGGTGGCCTTAGGGCTTGGCTGGAGAGATCGGTCAATGGCCAAGATAACCTTCCTTAGATACCACCGGTAAACTGCATACGCTGCGTCATTGCTTAGCTGCAGGACCCGGGAAAATAAAATAAAATAAAATAATATAACGAGGACTGCCTAGCGTCGTGTTAATATTAAATATCGCAGCATCGCCCACTCTTGTTGACTGCGAACAAGAATTCTCCTTCTGTACGACACCAGTTGAATAGGGCACGCTGAGAGAGAGTCAAGTCAACTTTCTTTGATTATGCTCGCTCATTCCCCCGCATCTCTTGTCTTATCCCAATCCAATACCCTATGCCAATTCTCCTACCTGCTCCTGTCTTATCTCTTTTTTCTTATCTTTTGAATTAACCTCCCGGATTTCGCTCCGAATACGTTAAACCTCACCTCCGTGCTCTGTTGGCATCGCAAACGCCAAAATGGGGCTCAACGAGGAAAAAACCCCACAGATTGAACCCGCCACGTCGGGGGATGGTGGTAGTATCCATGAAGGGGAGAGCATGGGGACCCTGCACCGCCGGCTCGGTAACCGTCAGATCCAGCTCATCGCTGCTGGTGGCTCAATTGGCACGGCCCTGTTCATTAGCATTGGCGGCGGTCTCGCTAAGGGTGGCCCTGCCAGCCTGTTTATTGCCTACACGCTGTATTCCTGCATCCTCGGATTGGTCAATAACTCGATCGCCGAAATGAATACATATATGCCGGTGTCGGGGGGCTTCATCCGCCTCGCTGGCTACTGGGTGGACGATGCTCTGGGATTTCTTGCCGGGTGGAATTTCTTCTTCTATGAAGCTTTCCTGATTCCCTTTGAGATCACGGCGCTCAGTCTGGTCATGTCTTTCTGGAATGAGACTGTCACGGAACCTGGCCCCACGGCTGGCATCTGTGCCGCTGTTATTATTTGCTATGCGTAAGGACCACTTTTGTCGATCTGATCCTGCTTTTGGACAGTGTCCTGTCATTACGCCCGGCACTCATAGATCCCTGAGTGCTGCAACCAAGGCGAGTGGAAGACCTATTAGAACCATATACTGACAGATGAATTTATATAGTACGTTGAACATCCTTGCGGTTAAATTCTACGGAGAGGCAGAATTCTGGCTATCCGGAGGCAAGCTTGTTCTGATTTTTATCCTCTTCGCCTTCACCTTCGTTACGATGGTCGGCGGTAATCCGCAAGGCGACGCCTATGGCTTTCGCCATTGGAACAACCCTGGTGCTTTCGCTGAGTTCCATACCAAGGGCGACCTTGGTCGTTTTGAAGGGTTTCTTGCCGCTCTGTGGAGCGCGAGCTTTACCGTTGTCGGGCCCGAGTATATCTCTATGGTGGCCGCCGAGGCTCAGCGCCCGAGTGTTTACATCAAGTCAGCCTTTAAGACTGTGTATTATCGATTCTGTATCTTCTTCATTATCGGTGCACTCGCTGTTTCAATCGTGGTTGCCTACAATGACCCAGCCCTCGTTGAAATCTACTTTGGCAGCGGGGACAGCAGCACAGCGGCCGCCTCGCCGTATGTGATTGCGATGGAGAACCTCGGTGTCAGTGTGCTTCCGCATATTGTCAACGCGTTGATCTTCACCTCCATCTTCTCCGCCGGCAATACGTATACCTATTGCGCCACGCGATCCCTCTACAGTTTGGCTCTGGAGGGCCGCGCTCCTCGTATCTTGCGCTACTGCAACAAATCCGGCGTGCCGGTGTATTGCTTCTGTGTGGTGATGCTTTTCCCCTTCCTCTCCTTCCTCCAGGTCGGCAGTGGCTCCGCCCAGGCCATTACCTGGTTCGTCAGCCTCGTCACTGGTGGTGGTCTGATCAACTATTTCTGCATGTCCGTCACGTTCATCAACTACTACCGGGCCTGCAAAGCCCAAGGCGTGGACCGCAAGAAGATGCCCTACTATGGCTGGTTCCAGCCCTATGGCGCCTACATCGCACTAACGGTTCACTGTTTCGTGATCATTTTCTACGGATATAGCTCCTTCACGCCATGGAGCGTGTCCAACTTCTTCTCCAACTACACGATGCAGTTGGTAGCACCCTGCCTGTTTATCTTCTGGAAGGTCGTCAAGAAGACCCGCTATGTCCGACCTCACGAGGTGGACCTCGTCTGGGAGCGACCAGCCATTGACGCCTATGAGAATAGCATAACCACCCCACCAGTGGGCTTCTGGTCCGAGATGATCGGCTTAGTTGGTATCCGACGGAGAAAGAACAGAGCAGACCCCGAGCGCGACAACTAAGTGACGGTATCCCTGCACCTCACTGGCCCTATTCCTTTCGATTGCGACCCCTGCGACCATTGCGACCATTGCGACCCTTGTGCCCCCCCCCCCATTGCTAACGAAAAGATACCCTCTACGAACGATGTCGCCCGGAAGATCAGTACCCTTGCCCTGAATGCAGCAACCAGCCCGATTTCCACTCCCTTGCGACCAGGAATCCGACGCCAATTAGATGTACGACTTGCCCACAGATTCAGTAAGCCGGTCTCGACGAGTTGCCAGTATCCCAACGCCCATGCCACCGCCCGTACCCAAGCCCACACCCGTGCGCAACGCGACCAGCGACAACCATGGTGCCCGTATCCGAAGGAAAGCCCTATCTACAGAGTACTAGAAATAGAAAAATTCACGCATGTGTATCTAAGTTTTGTCTTGGGCAATTTTAACCGAAAGCTTTTCCTCTCTGTGAGCCCATTGCGACAAAGAACTCCACCGGTTTACCACAGGAAACACAAAAGAGAAACAAAAAAAAAAAAAAAAAAAAGGAAAAAAAAAAGAAGACAAAGCCCAAGAGCGAGAAATTGAGATACACAATTACGCCTCCCAATACAGCCCCAGCGTCACAGACTAGACCGAGAACAGTCTAGCGGTCTCATGGCACGGGTCGAGCGCGCCAACCCGAAGGGATATCTTTGTTCCGTGTCAGCTGGCCCTAACTCTTCGACTCCCAACGCGTCAACATAAGCTCGATTGGCCCCCTCCAAACCACTGTTTCACACACCATCCATGTCGCTTGGGCATCGGAGCTTTGCCCAGACTTTGAGTGGCAATATTACCTAAAAACAAAGCTGCTCAGCTCGTGTCACGGAGTGTCCAAAGACCCGTGTAAGTAGTTCGTTTCATCCGTTCACCCCTAGTTATCAAGCTGGCGTATGTAATTTCGTTTATTACACAGTACCCGTGTCCCGGACGTTTGCCCCATGTGGCTTCGAGTTAAACTGGGCTTGGCTTAACTCTACTCCCCACCTGACCCTACTTTTGACCTGTCTGTCTCCATACTCCCAACAGCCACGGCTTGAGCATGAACCCGTACTAAATTCAATCCCCAGTGGACCAAACTATCCCCGAACTCTCTCTCTCTCTATACACGAATCAAACGACTCCCATTAACCCAAAATGAGCGAATCCCTCATCCCCATATTCTGTCTTCACGACATCCCCCCTCAAGTACGGAATATAAGGCCGCCCAATCTTCCATGGAACATACACGGTAACCCTGACTAAACAACCCCAGATGCTCACCTCAATCCTCACAAAAGCCTACGCACACGCCATCGACATCAACGCTGCTGCTTGTAGAAAGCACCGGAACGGCACTGCGCAGATACACACGTGATGCTGTGACGTATCCCCCGGTTGATTCTGCGTTCAAGTCACCATTCAATGGGTGGGGATTGGATGATGTGGTCCCGTTCCTGCGTGAATACGCCACGGGGACTGTTGTGGATGAATCTGTGTTTCTGGTTGCAGATGGGAGGACTGTCGAGGATGAATCACTGTTATTAGTGCAGAGTCTTCATGGGGATCCAATGCACTGTGTACGGCTTGCGGCGGAGTATGTCAATACTAAAGCTGTGGCTGTGGCTGTTGCTGCGACTGGTGTGCAGGAGCTGCGGAGATTGGTTGATGGGGATGGGGTGTTTAGAGGCGGGGGTGACAACCCGTCGCCACGAAAGGGGGGGGAAGCGCCGAGGAAGCAGCTGGCAGGGTCTGGGTAGAGACTACTATCGTTTGTGTGAGGCTGAAACTGTGTAAACCAGCTGAGTTCTTCATGGCTACATGGGGATAGGTCTCGGCAGGTTTCATTATAGTTTGACACGCTAACGGGTGTTTCATCGATAGTATACGGCTGATATGACTTCGCATACGGATTCCCGTTTGGGAATTTGTATGCCAGCTCTCGTCTATGATGCGTTTGGTGGGACCTGAAGGACCAGATATCAATTTAGCACTGCTTACTACATGTGGAGGCATAGAGCAGTGGAAATTGTAGGTTTCTGTTTTCTCAAGCTGGCAGCCAACGGAAGACTCAACATCACCGACATGATCGAGATACATTTCTGTGTCTTGCAAGTCTTCCATGAGAATAGCTTCCAGGGTGTAACCCTGCACCCGGTCACCTACTGTGAGCTTTGGTGAGTATGGATGAACGTTGTTGTGTATGTGGTACGGGGCTTGTGTCCGGAGCCTTATACCAAGATGACGCCACTACCACTAGGTTCAATAAGCATGGTAGGCTTCTGCTCAATCCCAAGCATCAAGAGAAAGGTCAAGTTAAATGTGCTACCCATTCCGTAATAGACCTTGACGTTGATACTATCGTTAAGAGGACCGGCCATGCACTCCTCTGAACCAGTTTCAATAGCTTAAACCACGTGGTAATATTCAATAGTCCTTATCGACCCTGACACAGAACACATTAGTTCCTGCACAACTCCAAGCATAGTATCCAAGATAATGTCATTATGATTACGATTCGTCCTTGACAGCGGATAAAATCCAACTCCCAGAAGTGGAGCATCCCAATGCCGAGTCCATTAGCGCTGACAGCCCGCCAATCCTTACTACAAAAGGCAATTCGCGCATGCAAGTATTGTCCAACAGTGCTCCCATTCGCCAGAAAGACAGCCAAAGAATGAATCTGCGCCAAGACGCTTTTACCAAGCAGGTGTAGCGCTGATGTCGTTCGTGAAGTTGGATCAGGCCACCGCTGCAATTGGTGTTTGGCGAAGCAACTTATCCGGCCACGCGGAGGGATCCACTCAGCCCTTCGCCTGGATATGGGGTTCTTGTGTCCATGTACGTGCTCCGTATATTGGCATTAGGCAGAAACGTCAGGGACCCAGTTACCGACAGATAATGAATACGTAATTCTCATATGATTGTAATCGGGTCCTCGGTGGTTGAGTAGGCTCTTGGCGTGGCCTCGCGGTTTGGCCATTTTGAGATAGGCTGTGTAGTCAAGATTGGTGTAGCATGAAATGTGACAAACATGAAGACATGCAATTAAGATCGAGATAGCTTTGTCAATCACATACGATGGGTTTTGGTAATCTCGGGATTTCCAAGGGGCAATCTGTCCCCACGTGGCGGTTTTGCTGCCAGGGCCTGAAAATTAGGCCCCTTACGTTATCTTCAGCCTCGAACTTAGGATGATATGATCCACTGCCGTCGTGAAGAGTAGATATAGAGATACTGACGATATATAGTCTGGATTTGATATTCGATTGATTGTCCTTTCACCGTGCTTCTAGATATTATATAGACATACAGGGTCACCTCTTTCCCAGAATGACCTAGCACGGATTCTAGCTAGGGAAAGCAATTGTGTGAGGATTCCATCAAAATTGCTTGTCTTACGCTGGTCAGATATGACAAGCTTTGGAGGCAACTTGGCACGCCTTATTTGTCGTTGTTAGAGACGTCGCTGTACGCAGGTCTCCTTTTAAATTGAAATTGAAGTGAGATCCCTGTCGAACCCAGCCCTATTGAAAGCGCCATTACTCCGACCAGAAGTCCCGATGGGCGACGTCACAGCAGAACCGACAAAGAGCCGCCGGCAGAATAAAGGCTTTGCCTGCGAAGAATGTCGTTCACGTAAACTCAAGTGCGATATGAGCCAGCCGCAATGCAGCACCTGTCGCAATCTGGGTGTACCATGCATTACAAATACGGCGCGGCGACCTCGAGGCCCGAGGAAGGGTCATGTCAATATCCTCAGATCGCGCATAGGTGGGTGACAGGGTGTGTGAACTGGTGAAGAGAGCTTTCTACTAATCTGAAGTATAGCATCGCTCGAGCGCCAGTTATATGAGAATTCCGAGGGCCAACCGAGCAGACGAGAAAGTTCAACGTCTACCCAACATGTATTGGAGGTAGATCAATCGGAAAGGGTCAATATTGGCAAAATCGAAAAAGCCAGCGTCGCACATTCGCAGGACTCAACGGATGACTTCCTTTTGGACCCGCAGTCAATCGGACTCCTCAAATGGCCATCGGTAATCCCTTCGTTGGAATTGGATAGCGAATGGTGCAAACATATTGAACCCTTCCCGGAGTGTACATACCAATCCCCAGCGCTAACCCCAGCAAGCAATATACCTACGTCGGTGTCATCTGCGTGTCCGATTGACGCCAGCATAAGCCCACTGGAACTGGGCTCCCAGGCAATGACAACGCCCATTCAGCTTCCCGTCCAACTGTCAGCCTTAGAGCGCGCAGATCTGTAGGATTATAGCACATGTAAAACTTTCAAAAAGACAGAAATGAACTAACTGTCGGCCACAGAGACGACCTTTTCTTCGACCGCGCTTACCCTTTTGCCCCCATTATCCATCAGCAGCGGTACTATTTGCGGGCAGCCAACGAGCCAGACGCAAGAGAGCCATTAACCGCCTTACAATATGCCATGCGAACGCTGGCCGCGTCAATGGGGAGCCAGTTCCAGGGCGTCCTACCGCTCTTATACACTCACACCTGCTGCTTACTGGACGTGTGGGAGCAACACATGCCGAACGAGGCTCTTCCCATCGAAGTGGTGCAGGCGCGACTGCTTCTGGTCCTCTACGAGATTCTAAAAAGTAACCCCAGCAAGGGATGGATTAGCGCTGGTCGCTGCTTTCATCTCGTCCATCTCTTGAAACTCGATCAGATCGACAACCCGAATACCTGGCAGACATCCAGTCTCTCCTGGGTGGAGATCGAGGAGAGACGGAGAACTTTCTGGACAGCATACGCGCTCGATCGATATGCGAATCTCGTCAACGGTCTTCCGCTGGCCATAAACGATCAAATGGCAAGTGATAGCCTCTAGCTTCATCATCTAGAAAGGTAGCCAACGTAGCGCACGAATAACTGACTGCTGTACGTAGATCCTCACCCGCCTTCCCGCCCCAGAAACGGCATTCCGACATCAACAGGCTGTTACGACCGAATATCTGGCCCCGGCCATGGCGAGAAAAGCCGACCAACAGGTATCGCCCTACGCGAAATCGATCGTCATGCTTACCATTCTCGCACGCTGCCTCTCCCACAGAAACCAATGCAACGTGGAACGTATCATGGACCCTACATCCCAGGAATGTATCGTCCGCCATCGAGCACTGGACATCATCTTGAGTCAAGAGAGCCAGACGACATTGTCTAGTCCCGCTGCCGATTTCTCATCATCTGACCCCACATCCATCTTCGTCGACATGCTAGCTCAAGTCGCAGTTTTGGTACTCTTCACTGCCTTGAACTCGGTGCCTGAAGCCGCAGAAATGTACCAGGACATGTACGGAAGTTACGAGACCAAGGCTGCTATTGCGACGGAACGAGTGCTCAGCCAGGCACAAAAGCTGTCCCAAATAGGGCCTTTCAAGGCAAGACTAGTCTCCTAAGAGTTTTCAGCCCTTTCTGATCGGAATGTTAGATTCACCCGTTCACACCGATCGCGCTATTCATCTGTGTGGAGCTTTCGCGCTCATGCAAGGCGTTCAACCACAAGCTCCCGGCGCAGTTCAAGGCCATTTCTGCCGCCTTGAGTGATATGGTGCCTGTTAATAACCTTGCCAGGATGCTGGAGCTTGAGATCCAGCGTAATGCGGAGATTATGCCTGCAGCTATAGGCTTCTGAGACTATTATGTATCAGTGATTATTCTTGACGACCGTATATATCTTGTACAAAATTCTACTTTCCAGCAACATCTTGCCAGAATGCCAGACTGCAGCTACACTGCCTGTTTGCACTATATACTGCCGGCTGGAGTACATGATCATGAATGTCATATTAGCAACAACAGCCTTCGTCACTAGTAGTTACTCACTCCCCTCCACTTCACGTAGTTAGTAGTGACCTAGTACTACTAAACCTCCGAGGAATTGCCCGAGGGCTATCCCCGATGGCAAATATTGAGCACCATACATCATGAGTCAGGATAGGCAGCTAGGTAGCGTCTCGGCCTGACACATACTGAAGGTGTGTCTGGTATCTGGTAGGCCTGAGGTGACGCTGACCAAAAAGAAACTCCGAAGGGGTCGGCCGAGCCCTTATGTCCGAGGTCGGGATATTTACCCTTTTCGACAGACCCATCTCGTACATATAAACCAAGCCCTACTCTGCGTTCTTGCAATTTATCAGAAGACATCCACAACACTCTGAACAGTTCCATTGTCAAGTATCTATTACTTCAAACCATTCCAACCCAAACAAGCCACAATGACCCAGAAGACCGTTTTCCAAGGCGACGAAAAGTCGGAAGCCCACGTCTCCGTAGCCTCGTCCGTCTACTCCGAGAAGCAAGGGTAAGCCAAGGCCTCCACTTGTTTATATCTACAAACCCTAACAAGACATCTAGGGCATCCTGCACCGTGCATGGGCCGTCCCAGACGCCTCATCTAGACCGTCAGCTTCAACAGCCCCAAACCAAAGAGATCCTGCAGGCACTAACGGTGGCTCTCAATGATATTGCGGATGAGCGCCAGTGCACCAAATGTGCGGTGGAAACCGCTTCGGGACTCTTGACGGGGTATGTCCGTGAGGTGAAAGCGGCCAAGAAGAGTGGCCAATATTCCAAGGAGGAGAGGAAGGCGCTGAAGAAGGAAATTAAGGGTTTGGGTAGGGGGGTCAAACGCGACGTTAAAGCGCTGTGGTTGGAAGAGAAATAGGTCTTGACTTGTAATTAGATGTCATGGCTTTTGTGTGTTATTGGAGTCGGGGCGTGTTTGTGAAGTGATTAATGTGTTTTCTTTCACTGTTTATCTTTCGGAGGATTGAATTCCTTACTTGGGTTTCATGAGCTGTATACTACATACTAATTGGATGATATGTAACCTTTGTCTTGATATTATAGACATGCTTAGAATTGGGAAATGAAGTATAAGACTCGAAAAAACAAAAGTACTACGCCGGGTTGGTACCATTAGTCACGCTCGCTCCATTGTTGCCATCAACGTTCTTCGTCTTCGTCGACAAATGCATGCTCTCCCTGTATTCGCGAATCGTATCATCAACCATAGCAGCAGAGTTAAAATGCCATATCTTGAATGAGCGATCCTTGACCTCTTCGAAACACGACTCGGTCTTGACCCGCTTGGCCGGGTTAGCCCACTCCGGTTGCTGGAAGAGATCGCACACGCGCCGACTGCTGTTGACCAGCCATTGCGTTCTGGTCCTACGGATCTTGTCGTATGTCTCGAACGCAGTGCGCAATGCAGTCGCTTTGGATGTCCGAGCCTCCCGGAGATCCATGATAAGCTCGGACATCAACGTGGACATGCAGAGCGCATCTTCGATCCCGAAAGAAGCTCCGGCACCGTGGTGGGGGCTGGATGCATGCGCCGCATCACCCATCAGACATACTCTCCCCTTGTTGTACTTGGGCACTGGGTATTCGAACAGGTCGAAGAGTGCCCACTGGTCTAGCTCTTCCGGGAACAGCTCGACGAGGTTGCGGACCGGAGTACACCACCCGGCCAGTGCTTCTGACACGTCCTTGCGTGACGCACGGGCCGTCGTAGGCTTGTCCTGTGGCCAGTCATTGGGGTCGGAGACCACGACGGTGGCTCCTATTGTGTCCGTGTTGACGGGGTAATGGATAAGATGTGCGTTCGGACCGACGTGCATGTGTTGGCGGAAGGTCTTGTATTCGCCGATCGCTGCGACGACCTTGTCCATGGGAATTAACGCGCGGTAAGCGACCTTGTGTGTGTATTGGGGGAATGAGGCGGGATTATCCACACCGAGTAGGAGTTGTCGCGCTCTGGACTTGATGCCGTCGCATGCGATGACTGGACATGGCCATTAGTCGAACCGGAACAGGGTAAAGGGGACACAGAATCAGACCTTACCAGCGTCAGCTTCGGCCCTAGTTCCATCAGTGAAATTCAGGTAGACCTTGTCCGCATCTTCGTTGTCCTCAATCGTGTCCAGTCGCTTCCGTAGATGCACAACCCCCTCGGGGATGACTTTGACAAGATCCTCCAAGAACTGGTCTCGGCGAACTGTCTCCCATCCTTTAACGCCTGCATCAAGCTTTAAGAGTGGCTTTTGGTGCATGGGGTCGTCCTCTCGGTGCTGGCCATAGCCGTCGATCCACCGCAAATATGACTTGGGATCCTGCTGGTCCAACGAAACATTGACAGCTCCACCGGAGCGCAAAGCCATCACAACGGCCGGGTTGATCTTCTCCATACATCCTACCGTGTTCTTCGTGAATCCGATGCCGGCACCAATCTCTCGAAAGTTCCGCGCTTGCTCGTAAAGCTGGACTTGGACGCCTCTCCGCGTGAGTCCAGCAGCGAGGACAAGGCCAACGATGCCACCGCCCACGATAGCGATTTGTGGGGTTGTGGCCATCTCTTGTGTATGGACGATCATCACTCGTGATTCTAGTAGAGAAGTCGCGTGACTAATGGGATATCTTAAACCGCCCTAGGTTATCTATGTAGACTTTGTTCTATATCTTGCTCCTGATTATAATATATTGGACAGCCTGACAGACATGCTATTATTATAGTTTTATAATATAGAGCCGGTGCATATGGCACACAAGATCCTGTTTAGTTTCTCCGGGGGTAGCCTTCCCTCGTATGCAGGTAAGCAGAGAAACCACGGAATAACGTTCTCTGGGGCCTGCCAAATTCCGGATAACCCCTTCCTCTGGGCGTTCGTATGGTAGGGTGAGCCAAATAGTCTTGGCCCACTTTTATGGTTGGTGTCATCTTCCAAGTTAAATCCATAAAGTTATTCCGAAGCCTGTGTCGGGTGGGGCCCCAGCCTTAGCCTTTGCTGTATGGTTCTACGACTTCTTTCATCTAATTAGCCCTTGATATGAGCTTTGAGGTGACCCACAAGTCGATCGGCTTCTCATTACAAGCCGATAATTAGTCATGGTCAGTAATAGGTATGTACTAGGAAGTTCAGATAGACACTGTATAGTTCTAACCCTTCATAAAACATGTCTATTATAATATGTACAATCTCCCATCATACTTCCCTATGCCATGCTGCTTAGCTAACAGTCGGTAAACCTACAAATTTCTACCTAGCACACCCGTCTGCTGAGCCACACACAATATCTGCTCAACCACAGATGCCGCATCACGAAACTTGATCGGCACACGATGATTCCCACTCCATTCCACAAGTGTCGCCGTGCGAGAATCACAATACTGATAAAGAAGCCTTCGATGCAACTCCAGTCCAGGGTCCGTCAGCCCGTGAACATGCACAGTTGGAATTTGTAGACGAGTATCCTGCAACAAGTCCATGGAAACCAGTGGCTCCCCTCCAGTGGTACACTGCGCAGCATCGACAAAGCCGCGGGGCATAGGCAGGTCCGGACGAAGCCATCTCAGCGGACCCCGTCCCGCCAACAGCACGGCGAACCGGAATACCGGCCAAGTCTCGTCAAGTTCATTCCGTCGCCGCAGCTCTTGCTGTGTAGCAAGGATGCCGGCCGCGAGATGGGCCCCCTGGCTGAAACCGAGTAGTCCGACCCAGTCTCCCGTCGCCCCTTGACAGTCGTCTGCGCGTCGTGCGGCGACTATGGAGTCCTCGATTTTTCTCACGATGTCGTGTGCGTCCTCGGCTGGGTCTTCGGGCCGTACGCGCAGCCATGCTTTGAATGGTCCGTAGTCTTTGTATACGGATGTCACGTCGGGGCCTGGGCGTGCTGGGAGGGGCGCTTCGGCGAAGACTAGTCGGAAGTGTGGGCGGAGCAACCGTTCGAGGACGCGGCATTGCATGCGAAAGATGCGGGCGTTGGTGCCGCCGCCATGGAGGCAGAGGATCCGTGGTAGGTGGAGCGTTGAGTCGATGGTCGGAACTATCATTTTCTGATTTGCAGTTGCGAGGTGTCCTGGACTTGTTGGCCGGAAAGGATGGTTAAGCTGTGTGATGTGTACGGCGTATAGTAAGCAAATTTAGCTCTATCGGAACGTTGCGACGGCTGGCGGTTGTGCATAGAGATTAGTGACTTTATATAGCGGTGTATAACACCGAATCTACCATTATGACATTATTTACTGGGGCTGACAGTCTTATATGGAGTTCTCCTAGACCTTGATAGCTATGAAGGATTATGATGGCTTGAACTTAAACGAGGCCGCGGACACAAGAATATATATCTTTGGCCGGAAACTTTCCTGTCAGCGCACAGCTAACTATATATCTACCTTTTATGAGCTGTCCAGTATTACGCACGGATTTGAAAACCTTCCCCCCTATTTTCCCAAATGTTTTTGTTCGCAGTATCTACTAGACACTTAGAACAGCCATGCTGACGCGTTGGGCTGAAGTGGGGCGGCACGGGCCGTGTGGGGGGCGATGATTGGACGTTCGGAGTTTCTTTTGCTGGCGGTCATGATTCATCACGCGCATGCAGAAGCCCTAAGAGGAAGATGACCAGGAAAATCCATGGATGGCCAACAGCCTCCGAAGGCTGCAAACACCAAGTATCTCCGAGAGTTCACAAATGGAGTTAATTTCCCGAGGGACCCGACCCTAAGCCCGACTGACAATGTTGTATATAAAGGGAATAACAAATTGACAGGAGGGTTGGATCGTGCAAACTACAGTCTTGAGCCTGCATCAAGAATATTATAATTATTGTTACTGCTGTCACTCCTTTTCATACGTCTGAATTCCGCCTATCCTCTGAAGAATTGGAACAGAAACTGGTGGCACTTGACCTGAAACTGCCATGAGCGACACAGCGGCGCAGAGTGAGAAGAGCATGGATACTAAACCTCCACAGCCTCAAGAACCTCCATCCCGACCTGCCGGTGGACCATCTCCCCCACCCAATGGAGGCTCTTTGGCATGGCTGAATGTCTTGGGCAGTTTCATGCTCTATTTCAACACCTGGGGTATCCTCAACACCTTCGGTGCTTACCAGACCTACTATGAGTCTGGGGTGCTCTTCACTGCGAGTTCTTCTGATATTTCCTGGGTTGGCTCGATCGCAGCCTTTATGTTGCTGTTTGTGGGACTCTTTGTCGGCCCGATTTACGACCGTGGCTTCCTCCGCACACTCCTTATCGTGGGTGGTTTCATGGTCGTCTTCGGGCATATGATGCTCAGTCTCTGCAAGACCTTCTGGCAAGTTCTGCTCGCCCAAGGCTTCGTGGTCGGTATCGGGACCGGGTGTCTTTTTGTTCCTTGCGTCGCTATCATCCCTCAGTACTTCAGCACCAAGATGGGCATGGCCATGGGCATCGCTGCCTCGGGCTCCGCCCTGGGAGGTGTTATTTATCCCGTCGTGCTGTATCGACTGATCAACGAGATCGGCTTCCCTTGGGCTGTTCGCGTCATTGGATTCATTGCGCTGGGAACCCTGCTGATCCCCTTATCTGTGATGAAGCTCCGTGTCAAGCCCCCCAAGGTTCGCGCCATCTTAGATCCGACCGCGTTCACTGATGCCGGCTACATGACATTCATCCTCACCTCTCTCGTCGCCTACATGGGCTTGTTCGTTATCCTGTTCTACCTCTCCTACTACTCTGCCGCGGAGCACATCACCGACGAATCCCTCGCTTTTTACCTGGTCACCATCTTCAACGCCGCATCTGTGTTTGGCCGGACCATTCCCAACAAGATGGCCGACAAGATGGGTCCCTTCAACCTTCTCGTACCGGCCTCCTTGATCTCCGGTATGCTGATGCTGCTCATGATGGTTGTGCATTCCAAAGGCGCGATTATCGTCATGGCGCTGCTTTCCGGGTTTATGAGTGGTGCTCTGATCGGCTTGCCGCCCATGTGCCTTGCCATGCTCACCAAAGATAAGTCGCGACTGGGAACTCGAATTGGCATGGGTTACGCCATTATTGCTCTGGGTGTCCTGATCAGCGGCCCCAGCAGTGGGGCGATCCTGCGGACCGGTGGTGACTCCCTTAACTGGCACAGCTTGTGGACCTTTGGTGGTGTACCGACTTGCGCTGCGGGTCTGTTGTACGCTGCAATCCGTGTGGCCAAGTATGGCCCCAAGCTTGCGATTAAGGCATAGGGGATTTCCCTTTTCAACCACCTGGTCCGCAGGAGAGTGTCTTGCCTTCCGGATGATATGAATTTATGACTAAAAGAATGGACTTCAGATGATAACGGAGGCTGGAAGTGGTTAATGATTGTTTTCTTTCTCTATCAGGAACATAATTAGAATATATCCTTCAGTGCTTTTTTAATTAATCTCCACTTAATAGCTTGTCAAAAATTCATTCTAGCCAAATAAGTTACATAGAAAAATAACAATCACCGCTACAAGACATTGCACAGAGCTCTACAGTAATTGGAAATACCTGAGAAGTTCCGATCAGGGCTTAATCGAATCTTCAAGCCGCTGTCCTCACGCCACATTTGAACGGTGCCACCACTGCGCGATCCATGTTCCAAACTCCCGCCTCAACGAATGCGTTTTTGCTGACGATCGCGCGTACCTCCTCCTCGGTCGTCGCTCGAAACATCATGACACTGCTGGTGATCTCCATCCTGTCTTCTGGCCCCTTCGGATGTGCTGCCAAGGTGGGACCTGCGAAAACAATAGTTCCATCTGCGACGTATGGCTTGAGGTGCGAGAGATGGGCGTCTCGGGCGTTGGTCCACGCCTGCATATCGCTCACGTTCACGGGGATTTGAACGAGCCAGTCGTATTTTTCGGACATCTTGAGTGACAGTTGAGTGACTGTTGAGTGACTGTCGATTTAGGAGGAACCGTCAGAATTGGATCTATTTTGCTGTCGCAGATGCCCAATGGAGTAGGGTTGTTGGTTTTGCGAGTGGGGATGTGTTAATGCTCGGTGTCCTGATAGATTTTGCAATTTCTTACATTTAAATTTATAAGTTCTGGCTCTATTCCATTTTGCCCTAAAATACTAGTTCGCTTATTACTACTACACGTTACCTTTGGTGGCGCCTCTCCCTCACATTGGCACCATCTTCAATTTATTCTCCATATTTCTAGGCCCGGAGTAACCTTTTAGAATACGCTGAATCTCTTGGCAAAGAGACTATCGGAATAAAATTATAGAGGAAAGGACTTAAAAAGATAGTCCTACCAAAAGTCAGCTCAGACTAACCATATTCCTTCAGCATCCGATGTTTCAGGCCCCCAAGACCCGGAGTAATCTTTTAGAATCAGCCCCATGGATCGTTCACTGCACAGACGTGTTTGGAAAGAGAGCTGACCAGGCTGACCAAAACGAAAGACGAACAGTGTAGACAGTAGCCATGCGGCCAGGGAGCAGATTTGAGGTCCGTTTTCTGTAGTAAACCGACATTCCTCGTTTGCATACAAGTGACCTTTATTTCTATGTTCAAACTAGAACCTGAGAATCTACGACCTATACCCCAACATCTGATACCATAGCTTAGACAAAGGAAAATGGGTAGCAACAGTGTAGTGCCGCCTACTGCAATCCCGACAGTGGATATCAGTCCGTTCCTCGATGAGAACGCCTCCCCAGAGGCTAAGCAGCAAGTCGTCGACGCAATGCGCGACGCATGCACCACCTTTGGCTTCTTCTACCTCGTCGGCCACGGTATCCCCGAAGAAGATCGCCGGATGATTCTGAATTGCGCCAAGCTATACTTCTCCCTGCCGAAGGAAGACAAGATGGAGACGTGGATCGGGAAGGCGATGGGTCGCTCGTTCCGTGGCTATGAGCCACCCGCACTGCAGGTGCACCAGGAGGGTCTGTTACCGGATACAAAGGAGGTGAGTCGTTACCATCGGAGTACTGAAAGAACAGTTCTAATTCTAGAAGGGGTTCATCATCGGCCGGGAGACACCCGCAGACGCCCCGGAAGCTGGCACTTTCCACACCGGCCCTAACCAGTGGCCGAAGGCTCTCGCGGACGAAGACTTCCGCATTCCTGTCATGGAATATCACGCTAAGATGCTCGAAATGGTGAATGTGATCCTCAAGGTCCTTGCCCGTGGTCTTCCAGCGCACTGGGGCTGTTCGCCCGACGTCTTTGACGAGTTGACGGTTAATCCTTCCGCCCCGCTGCGTCTTCTCCACTATGCTCCCCAGCCGGTGAAGCATGATAGCCAATTTGGCGGTATGTACTGGCTTTATGATCCTAATTGGAAACTTTTGACTCTAACATAGGGTTCAGTGGGCGATCATACCGACTTCGGCAATGTCTCCGTTCTTCTCCAGGAGGAAGACACAGAGGGACTGGAAGTCTTCTACCCGCCAACGCAGACTTGGGTTCCTGTGCCAGTCAAGGAACATTCCTATGTGATCAACATGGGCGATATGATGCAGAAATGGACGGCCGGGTACTACCGGAGCGCGCGTCACCGTGTTGTCAATCATAACATCAGGCCAAGGTACAGCGCACCGTTCTTCCTGAATGGGAATCTCGACCTCAAGTGCCAGGCTTTGGATGGTTCAGGCGTTGAGACGGTGATTGGTGAGCATATTCGGCAACGCCTGATGGAGACTATTGGGGGTGAGGCTGGTAGGAAGCTGGGCCTCTGATTGTCCCCTGGTAGTTATGGTGGTTATTTGTTATCTTTTATGCGTAGTGAATTGCTTTGAATCTTGTGATAATTTATGTAGCTGAGATTGTATTCTAATCGGGTATTGTTTCTTCAATTAACTCGCCATTTTGAGTTTTTATCTTTAGTAGATGTAGCTTGTGGTTGCGTACTATTTACCATTGGCTTCCCATAGACATTCAGCGCGTCTAGTATACCTTAGTTGAAGCACTCGACCCCTTGGAGCATGCAGCGCTTTTTTTTAGCATTGGTGTAGTGATTTAAGGTACAAGTCTATGCCTGCTACATGAGATCAAATGGCTTCTACAATAAAGTAAGAATAATTTATACTATGGCTACAGTGACCAGAGTAAGCTCTAATGGGATTCTCAAAAGTAGATTCCAAAGACTAGCTCTGCCTTCGTGACTATTGATACCATGGCACTCTCCATTGGCCACCTATTTACCATGGTTGAATCGGCGTCAAGTATTCGCGTACGACATTACCCGCCTCACCGTCTCTATCTCCCTCAACCACTCGTCGGATGGTATCGCCTCCAATACTCGGATCCTGCGCCCCCAGCCTCTTCAACAGGTCTACATCACCACCCAAGCCAGTAGCCAACAGACCCGGAGCAACAGACCACACCTTCACCCCGTCATTCTTCAAGGCCTTCGCCCACTCCACCATTACCATATTAAGCCCTGTCTTCGAGGACCGGTACCCGACGAACGGAAATGGTTTGGGAAGCCCTGCCGGTGGGAAAACGTTCCTCGGGTTGTTGGGATCTGAAGAACCCTGCAACGAGGAAAGACCACTAGTGATGAATAATAGTCTAGGATCTTGAGACTTGAGCAAGAGTGGGAGAAAAGCCGTAGTCATGATATGTGCACCAGTCACATTGACATCCCATGCTTTATTCCAGGCCTCTCGGGCTGTCATGCGGCCATCCGCGATGTGGGCGTCGAAACAAGCTCCTGGTTCTCCAGTTAGACATCCTTTTATTTGTAGAGGAGGAAGTATCACGAACCAGCGTTATTGATGAGACAATCAACCCGTTCGTATTTGGCTGAGATATGCTTGAAAGCTGCCTCGATTGACTCGTCGCTTTCAACGTCCACCTGGAACGGCTCGATTGAGCTTGGCGATGTCCCAGAATCGATGTTCTGGCAGGCCGATTGAGCCTTCTCAAGATTGCGACCACCAAGCAGGATGTGGTATTTCTGGCTCGAGCGCAATAGTGATTTGACTGTTTCCAGGCCGATGCCGGTGTTCGCGCCTATCATCTACAGTCAGCTGTCTGCACCGTATGAATATCCGTGCATATGTTAGACCTTACCTGTTATGATTACAATCTTACCAGAATGCATGTTGTCTGTAGTGTGCTATTTTCGATCGCACGCCGACGGCATAATAAATACTGGAGCCCGCGTAGTGCCAGGAGAAACGATATGTTGGATCGTAGTTGGGGGCCGGAGGCACTTATGAAAAAGAAACTCCGAGCAGGCGAGACACTATTCTGATGAACAACCCATCTAGTCGTATAATACCTTGGCTCAATAATTCTACACCCCAAAGCTCACATTTCCAAACTTAACCCTAGACCACAATCCGAATACACTATACCAACCTCGAGATGAGCGAAATCCTCGTAATAACCTGCCCAAGCGGCAAGCAATGCTCGCGTCTGATCCCCCTCCTCTACAACAAGGGCAAATTCCAGCTCCGCCTCGCTGCACACTCCGAAGCCTCCGCCCTCAAGCTCAAAGCCCAATACCCCGACGCGGACGTCGTAACGGCAGACCTCCAGCACCTCTCCGACTGCCGGCAGCTCCTGCACGGCGCCACAGCCATCAACGCCGTGCTGCCGAGTCTGCACTCCCACGAGAAAGAAATCGGCTTCAACCTGATCGACGCAGCGGTTGCGGAGTCTCGACGTGCGGGAAACGTGTTCCGGCACTTCGTCTTCTCGAGCGTCCTTGGGACCCAGCACCGCAATCTCCTGCAGCATGATCTGAAGAGCTACGTTGAGGAACGCCTATTTCTGAGTCCGCTGGATTGTTGGACGATTCTCAAGCCGACGAATGTGGGTTTTCTATCTTAGCTGCTTTTATGTTCTACTATGTAAGGTTCGGGGGCATGCTGACTTGTCGTACAGTTCCTGGATGCATACCCCGTCGCCGCGCTGGCGGCACAGGAAACACCCGTTCTGGAGAAATGGTGGAAGCCAGAACACCAGAACAGCGTGATCGCGCTGGCGGATCTGGCTGAGGCGTCGGCCAAGGTGTTGAATGAGAGAGAGAGGCATTATCTGGCTGAATACCCCCTGTGCTCGACGATGCCCATTTCTGAGACGGAGATTATTGAAATCATTGAGAGGCGCATTGGGAAGAAGATCGAGCTCAGGACGCCTTCGTTTGAGACGGGGGTTAATAAGCTCGTTAGGGCTTTGTATGGTGGGGAGGAGAAGGGCGATGGCGAGCTGGGTCTTGGGTTGGCCAGTGAGGGTGATTTACGCGGTGATCTCGTGCGTGATACGGTTGAGCATTTGATTTTGTTTTATAATCGGCGTGGCCTGAAGGGCAGTCCGAATGTGCTGAGGTGGTTGTTGGGGAGGGAGCCTACTTCTGTTGCGCAGTGGGTTGATGGGGTTGCGCTTGTGTGAGTGAGGTTGTAGATGCAGTTATTAGGTATGCTAGGTTTGATTATGTTGAATGAGATCAATGCACAGGTCTAGAGTCACTGTGTTTATGTCTAAGAGCAAATGTAGTAGGCTGAGCATGTGCCCTATTACCCGGGGATATCAACGGATACCTAATAATAATACTCTACAAAGATCAAAGATGGCTACACTTGCTATATGGTGCTGAATAGTTCACTATGTCGACTTCCATTCAAAGGGCTCTCTAAGGCAACTGCTCAGGTAAGCTTACAGAGAACTTCGTGTATATTCACGACCAAGCAGAGACCCCAGACATCCTAAGAATAACACCGAATAAAAACATCAGGGAAAATTAAGGAAGAGGCTGATTTCCGGGCCCCCGTCGGACAATCTTTTTAAGCAGTACTTTTCTCCGGAGTGTAAGATTAGGGCTGCAGGATTCGCGACCCCAGGAATTCAATCCAATCACCGCCTTCCGAGATGGTAGCTTGTAATCCTCTCGACTTATGATGATCCCAGCTATAAATCAGACTTGTATATTTACACCCCTTCATTCCACAGACTGTCAGCTTCCAAGCAACATCCAGACACGAAATCTCTACTCTTCCATAACACCCTTGACCCGGCATTCAACATGGTCACTTCAACCTCTAACACCAAATCCGAGAGCCTTAAGCTGGTCTTTGGGCCTCAAGACCCTAACCTCGACGACACATTCTTGCAGACGCTTCGGACAACACTGCTCGAAACACCCGAGCTCCAGTGGGTCGTAGACACATTGACACAATTGCCGCGGGAATGGCAAAAGATTGCCGATGCCCACCCAGAACTAGCAGCATTCCAGGGCCAGAGATACCTGGACTTGCTAAACAAATGGGTTAGAAGAGGCGTACTGCCCTCGAATCTGTTTCCACTGCCCAACATCCTCGTTACCCCGTTGGTCGTGACGACGCAACTGGCACAGTACACGAAATTTGTAAAGCAAATCAACCCGGGTTTTTCATCGAATGATAGCCTTCAAGGGACTCTGAAGCTTGATACAGAGACAGTGGGTCTTTGCACTGGGCTCATAAGCTCAGCTGCGGTGGCTAGTTCTGCGAATCTCGCAGAGCTGCAAAAGCATGGCGCAGCCGCTATTCGCATGGCCACCGCTATCGGGGCATTGGTCGACGCCGGAGATTCAGATCATGAAGACGGAGACAGATGGCAGTCGTTGGCTGTTGGGTGGACGGCCCATGCTCTGGAGAGTAAATTGGACAGCATTGTAGACAGTTTCCCGGAGGTACTTTACCCTGTACAAAATCGACTGAGATGAGACTATACTAATGGTCTTGTAGGCATATGTGTCGGTCATTTCCGAAGCTCGCCTCGCCACCCTCACCGTGCTGAAGACCGACGCCCCTGAACTGTTGGAGAAGCTAAAAGATACTGGCTTCATCTTCACAAAGACCGGCTTGCGGGGACCATTCCACTGTGGCAAGCGCGAGAAGCAGGCGGCTTCCCTCTTGCAGCTCTTTGACTCAGACCCATCCTTCCAATTCCCACACGCTTCTCAACTCGTTTTCGGCATGCACTCTGCTGATGGTGGCAGATTCCAACTTGAGGACAAACTTCACCATGCAGTAGCCCGAGCAATGCTGACCGACAAGGCTGATTGGCACAAGCTTTTTACAACACTGCATGAGTCAACTTCTACTCGCCCATATCTCACCATCTGCTTCGGAAGCCAGCGCTTCATGCCGCAGTGGTTCCTCCGCAAAATCGGCCCTAAGCTGGCGTACGCTGCCGATCTCGATTTTACGTCGGCCCAGTTACCCCCAGCACTTCGTGCTCTATTAGGGCCCATTGAGGATGACGCCATTGCCGTAGTTGGGATGGCCTGTCACTTCCCTGGAGGAAGTGACCTGGACGAGTTCTGGGACACGATATGCGCGGCCAAATCGCAGTGCACGGAGGTGCCTTCAGACCGCATTAATTTTGATTACGCTGCCTGGCGAGAGAACGATAAGAACAGGAAGTGGTTTGGTAATTTTGTTCGTGACCATGATGCCTTCGACCATAAGTTCTTCCAGAAGAGCCCACGAGAAATGGTGTCATGCGACCCCCAGCATAGAATGATGCTTCAGGTGGCATACCAGGCTGTACAACAGTCCGGATACTTCAACAAAGCAGCCATTGACCAACACGTCGGTTGTTACGTGGGTATTGGAGTGGCTGACTACGAGAACAATGTTGCCTGCCATACACCCACTGCGTATACCGCGACGGGCAACCTCAAGTCCTTCGCTGCCGGAAAGATCAGCCACTTCTTTGGCTGGAGTGGTCCCGGTGTTACCAT